GGAGAGAGGGAGGGAGGGAGGGAGGAAGGAAGGAAGGAAGGAAGGAAGGAAGGAAGGAAGGAGGAAGGAAGGAAGGAAGGAAAAGAAAAGTTTCCATACTTGCACCAGCAACTGAAGCTAATTACACTTAAGGTATATCAAACTTTACAAAGTACCTCTAAAATCATTACCTCATCTGGCCCTTAGAATCACTACAGGTGATCTGTAGACTATACTTTATAAATAAGGGTTACATCACTTGCAAAATTTCATAAGCCAAATAAATGACAGAGATAAGTCTAAAAATGCTAGGCTTTAGAATTCCTAGCAGAATTGTTTTTTCTACCACTTTCAATATTTAATTTAAGAATATTCTAAATTGTTAGAACTTTTGCCCAGGAGGAATGAGAATTCTTCATTCCAGAGTTTTTATTTTTCAAGAAAAAAAATGAAATTGCTCATGCAAAAGCCTTAAAATTAAGAAGTCCTAGATGAAGTTAGCATGATTTGTTACTGCATGAATTGGTATGTAGTATTAGCCATACAATAATAGCCTAAAACAGTCTAAGAACAAATAATGGAGACCTGCCTCTAGCTCTACTAACCATCAAATCAAATGATAAACTTATGGAAGTTGAAGCAACTCAGAGGTGCTAAGTTAAGTCGTCTTAAAGTCCTAATCCATAAAATATATCTATTGCATCACCATGTGAAGTTTCAGTGCAATTTTTATACAGGATTAAATAACTAGCTCCTAAGTGACATAAAAGACTTCCCCAACTCTAAGAAGCCAGGAAAATAAAATGTCAATTGATATTAGCAATACCCTACAAAGAAATGTTCAGCCTGAAGATCTTTACTACCAGTACTGACATTGTACAAAAGAACTAAAGCAGTAACAAAAAGTAGAACTTGAGATCAATAAAATATAGTAACCAAATTATTCCATGAACCCAAATAAATACAGCTAAGTCCCAACTCTTCAAAACATATCAAAGCTAGGCATGAGTATTTGTACCAAGCACATCCTTATGATTGTTTTTGGAAGTCTGGCAAGTGAGCATCTTGAAGGATGAAAGCACAACTACTTACTTATATAGTCAGGCAACTTACCCTCCAATATTTGGAGCACACAACCAAAAGTGACCTTTGTGTGAATGCACAAAAAGAGATGCTTTGGCAATTCTGACAATAAATTGGTTTAGATTCTTCCTCAAATATTGGCTCAGTGTCCTGAAAAGGGAGATTTGTAAACTTTCAGGAATAGTTTGTCAGTTAAAACTACTACACAATAATAAAAACACCAGCATGAAATAAAAGCACATTTGCACGTTCATTCTTTCAGCTCCTCTAGTAAGAGTCATAGGAAGAAAAAGAACAAAAATATACATCAAAACAGTTGAGCACAAATGCCTTTGCTTCAGCTGAGATTTAGTTCTGGATTCATGTCAGAGTATTATCTCTGTGGCAATGGCAAATGGTAAAATTTTTCACTGAGGCTAATTTCTGAGGTTGTATGTGTTTTAGTTAAAAGAAAAAAGCAATCAGTTCCCCCTAGTTTCTTCCAAAGTCTATGCCTAACCTGTCCCATGCTGCACAGAAAAGAGTGAGTATTATCATAAAATCATCTTCCTTCCTTTAAAATATGACAAAGAATTCTAGCCCAAAGAACTGAGATACCAGACTAAAAATGGTTTTTGTACCTTTTGTACATTGTAGTTTGAATATAAAATGTTCCCTAATGGCTCAAGTGTAGATGGTGCCACTATTTTGGAAGACTCTGGAAACTTCAGGAGGTGGGGCCCCTGTACAGAAAGTATGTCACTAGGAGTCTGACTTGGAGGTTATATCTAGTCCCCTCAGCCTCTGCTTCCAGCAGCCATGAAATAAATAGCCTCTTTCACTGCACACGCCCACCACCATGACACTTTACCTCACTGGAGAGTCCATAATTGATGGAGTCAACAACTATGGACTGAAGTCTCAATTCATGAGTCAAAATAAATCCTTTCTCGTTTAAGTTGTTCATATGAGGCATTTTGTTACAGTGATACAAAATTACTTTAATGTAAGTGGTTTGCTTTATTCTCTTCCCTTGACTATCTTTTAACATTTAAACAAAAGCAGTGGAAAAGTTGCTCTCTTTTGTGTTCTTCTACTTTGTATCCTGTGTATTGTTTTCTTTTTCCTATCCTTGATGGACCTGATGTCTCCAATCAGATAAAAACACAAATTCACTCATACAGACAGCACACTAGGGATCTTTACACGATGTCTATAAAACTACTGAGATGGAAGAGGTATTTCCTTTGCCTTTAAGAAAAGAAAGGAAAGGAGACATCATTACTAAAACCTAAGATGACAAAAGGAAAAAAAAAAGACTCATTTGTCTTACCGGCATGCCACTCATTTCAGAGGTAACAATCCACACCTTCAATATGCCTGTCACGGAGAGTGCCACCACTGTGTCCTCTAAACCAAGAAAGGACAGAGAGCCATGTTACAAATACAGTACTCTTTCTCTGTAAAGACTAAGGTGACCTGCTCCAATGAAATTAAGCAATAATACGTTTTACAATGAACAGATTTTGAAGCACTGGCTAATAAGGAGCATCAATAATCTGGAATGGAAATAAAATTGTTTCTGGCTATTTGTTTTTGGTTTCTTTAATATCTATTCAATAAATTTCATGTTAATTTCAAGTGTTCTTTATTTTTTTCAGTGCCAGTACCGGGGCTTGAACTCAGGACCCTGTGCTCTCCCTCAGCTTTTTTACTCAAAGCTGGTGTTTATCACTTGAGTCACAGCTTCACTTTTGGCTCTTTGGTGATTGTAGATTTGTAGATTGTAAGATCCCTATTTCATATGGCATTCTGCCCCCAATGAAATCTAAAAGTGTTTGGAGAGCTTCTGGACTGCAAACATGTGAAGGCTCTTAGAAAGCAGCACACCCAGGGAGGGCCTGAAACACCACCTTCTCTTCCCCTACACCATGCCCTCTGCATCTCTTTCCCCCATCCTTTGTAATAATCCAAATAATGAAGTGTTTCCCCTAAATTCTGAGAGCTACTGCAGCAAATTAACTGAAGCTGAAGAGGAGGTTATGGGACTCCCATTTATAGGTGGTCAGTCAGAAGTACAAGGAAAACAATCTGAGACTTGCTACTGGTATCAATACTTGGGAGAGAAGACAGCTCCGAGCACTTGGCACTCAACCTGCAGCCAATGCTATGTCCAGGCAGAGAACATGAAAACTGAATTGGATTAGAGGTTGCTAGGTTGATATGTGTTGCAGAACTGATTGCTTGGGTGTAAATGGGGCTATACCTTTTGAGGTCTTCTATGTTGACTGCTGTGGTGTTTAGAAAAAACAGGGAATAAAGTCAAAGCTCAAGAAACAAGCTCAAGACCATAATTCTACCTACTCAAGAAGCTAAGATCTGAAGGATCAGAGTCCAATGCCAGCTCAAGCATAAAAGTTCCACTAGACTTCATATAAAAAAAAAATAAAGCAAGGGGGCATAGCTCAAGTGACAAAGCACCAGGTAACAAGCATTAGGGCCCTGAGTTCAAACCCCAAGATTTTAAAAAGGGTGGGAAGGGAGTGGAATCGCTTTTTTTCCCTATGAAGTAGGATATAAAACTTCAATTCATAAACTTCTGGTCATGAACCAATCACAACACAATGGAAACAAATGTGAGCTCTGAGAGAATGTGGGTCAAAAGGGAGGGAAGATGGCCAGGAACCAGAGCTTCACATATGAAATCCAAGCTAGGTAGGAGGCTGAGATCTAGAGGATCATGGTTTGAGGCCAGCCTGTGCAGAAAAATTTGCTAGACTGCATTTCCAAAGCAGGATTGGAAGTATGGCTGACTTGTTAAGTTTTCCAACCAAGTCAACATGAAGCCCTGAGTTCAAAATCCAGTTTTGCCAAAAATAATAAAATCAAAATCTCCTCTTTCTTCATTAATTAATGAACTATAGATAACTTACCTATCCCAAATTCATTGTGTTTATATAAAGCAAATACAAAGGAATAACAATAGTACTTCCCTAATTGTTATAAAAATTATAACACCGTACATACCAAATTTTCAATAAAGGGTGTATACTATTTTTAAAAATTGGTTGGTACAGTGTGGTGCCTCAGGCTTGTAATTCTAGCTACTCAAGAGGAGAAAATTGGGAATTCATAGTTTAAAACCAGCTGGGGCAGAAAGTTCTCAAGATTCCATCTCAACCAGCAGCTGAGAGCAGTGCCAAGTACCCGTCATCCCCAGAACAAGAGGAAGCACAAGTAGGAGGATCACAGCCAAGACCAGCCTGGACATTCAATGAGACTCTATCCTGAAAATAACCAAAACCAAAAAAGGGGCTGGACGCATGCAGCCCAAGTGATAATGCATCTTCCTAGCAATCACAAGGCCCTACATTCAATCTCAAACACCATTAAAAAAAAGAATTGTTTGTATATTTAAATAATAACCTGATCATATTGCATACAGTGGTTCCCCAAAGCATGGAAGGTGCTGAACTCACTTATTACCATATATCCAGGATCTCTGTACAGAGATACTATAATAACATACCAATATACCAATATACTTAAAACTCTCCAATATCCATGGACTAGGAAAAGGTAAATGCAGATTAAAAATTAAATGCTTATAACAATGTAACTGATTAACATCTAGAATTACATGGTCAGAAAAAAATGTTCATTAATGTTCTATGATATTGAGACCATAAGGTGGTTTAATGTATATAGTGACAGCAGAAAAAAGTAAAAATCATGTAACTGTTTGGTCACAAAAATAATCCTTTTTTAAAGAAATCATTGATTATAACTAAGATTGGGGGTAATATACTAACAAGAAGCTCCTTGTTGCCTGAAAAATTAGTATGAATCATAATTTTCACTGCCAGACTCAAGAATAAAGCAATAATTCACCACTATGTATTACAAAACCTCTGTGAGAAGGTCCTGCATCACAGAAATTCAGGTAGTTTTATTTTACCAGCCATTTCCCAATTATATTTGATGACAGATCCCTCCTTTTTTACACTAATAACTATTAATGCACTTCAAAACCAATACTTTGCAGAACTACGTGGGAAATGTGGTGATATATTCTGCCTGCAGCCACTGCTTTAGGCTGTTAGAAAAATTTAACTGGTACATTCCCACCCACAGACTATTCATTATCTAGTGGGAGCCAGCAAGCTACAGCTCATAGGGCACCTCTAGCTCATAGGGCAGAAACACTGCCTATTTTTGAAAATAAAGTTTTATTAGAACCCCATCACTTTTGTGAGATAATAGCAAAGTTGAACAGTTGAAACACTGACTGCTTGGCCTGCAGAACGTGAAACACTCAGTATCTGGTCCTCCACAATTCAAAGTTGCCAACCCCTGATCTAACGGAAAACCCAAATAGTCTTAGTTGGCAGCATCCATCTTGACCTGCCCTTCCCAGTTTCACCAGCCTTATAGCCTGCCACTATGCCTTTCACACTTCTTACACAGAAGATAACCTTTAGGTTCAGACACACACCTAGACTATTTGTAATGGAGGCAGACTATTTACTCTGCCAGACATTGATCCCCATGTAGGCCAGACCTCTATTTGCTCTATCAGATGTTGATCCACATGTCTGCCAAACTTCTCTCCATCTTCCAAAACTTAGGTTAGCCTTCATCTGATCTGAGCAATCTTCCCACTGCCCTCAAGCCCCTTTTCTGTATCTGTGCTCTACTGTTTCTCTACCTGGCCACACTTTGCATACTGAATTGTTGTTTGTATATCATCCTCCCTTATTAAATATTGGTTACCTTAACTAGTTCAATCCCTTGCACCTCAAAGATAATGGGCAACTAATACAGTTTTTTTTAATGGCTACTGACTAAAAGCTATACGCTAGTTTCCACCCTTATATGGTAACAAAGGAAAGCTGCCACAGAGCTGAAGGCAGTCCCTTCATAGTAAGATGTACAACACTGTAGCTAAAGTAACAGCTCTAAGCTCTACTGGCCACCAGTCAGCTTACTCCATTCTAAGACAAAGAGAACACCCTGATAAGCCTGATTAGCCCCTCATCTCTGTAAGAAATGCCAACAGCACCTACCGTACTGGGTCATGTGAAAACAAATCCTATATAACCGCTCAACGTGCTTCCTCATGCTCATAGTGAATAGTAATGGTGATAGTGATGATGGTAGTTACCCATCAATCTTTATAGAAAATCACATAACCATGAAACCACTAGGGAGAAAAAGTGGCTTATAAGAATATATATTCAATGCTGAACATTAATTACTGCTCTTTCCCTAATAATGTTACATTTGCTCTCATGGTTGTTATTGAAAGGTTTCAATAGAAATGAAATAAAAGGTAATAATATCTAGTGTTGTCGAATATATGCCAGGCACTTAACAGAAACTTGCATTAAATTTAGTCTCCTCCCTTTTTATTTTCTCCCTAAGAAATGGAGACACCACTATACCTCTTAACAAGTGACAAAAGCAGACTCCATAGCTTCAGACTCTATAGCTTCACCTATAGATTTTCTCACCACACCCCTAAAGGTTACAATATGCGTCCTCACTTCAGAAGGTCACCTACAAAGGCTAAATTTGCTCACTGCAATAAATAAATAAATTTTAATTCAAAGACTCCTGCATAAAGGTGGCGCCAGACCATAAATTATTAGCACTACTCTTTTTTTTCCTTCTAACTATATTTATTTTATATTTCTTATTTATTTACATTTATTACATTATTTAAATTACATATATATTTACATTTCTTATGCATGTAGGACTACTCTTGAATATAAGAATTAAAAAAGTATTAATTTTGGCCAGTTATATAACATCACAATAAATTAAACAGGAAATAATGGTGTTAAAGTTCGTAAAGGGTATTATAAACTGACCTTGGGTCCGGTGGGATCGAATAATACTCATGGAGCTAATCCAGTCAGGTGATATCTTTGAGACTAAGGAGTACAACACCTCAAGGCTGGTAGCATCCACAACGAGTATTTCAGGATAATGTCCATGGCATAAAAGCCTTCCTTCACGCTGATTTCCAACAGAGAACTGGTAGAACTAAATTCATATGAAGAGGAAAAAGATTTTTAAAAGTTTTAGTTTAGTTACCTGATTAATATGCATTCATCAAGCATACTATAATATTCTCCTAAATGCTAAATTCCTCTAGTACTAATTTCATAATATGCACTATATGACATATACAACATGTGTACAGTACATACAAACATATGTCAAGTTATACTAATACTTTCAACCATAACAAAAAATATTATTTTCCTAATATCCTCTCTTGGCAACTATTTTAGGAAAGAATTCATAAGTCTCCTTTATATACATCTCTAGAATATAAAACAGGATCGTTTTTATGTATGTGTGCTGGTCCTGGGACTTTCTTGCCTAGGCTGGCTTTGAACCACAGTCTTCAGATCTCAGCCTCTTGCATAACTAGGATTACAGACATGAGCACCAGTGCCCAACTTGAAGCAGTTCTTAATAGAGAGTGCATGAGAGAGTCATGAAAGACATATATCACACTAATCACTACCTCCTTGCAAACATTTTCCTTTGCTGATCACATCTGGGTTAGCACAGATTTTTCTTTCCTGACAAATTACGCTATTAGTCTAAGTAGGGAGGCAGCATTGCATAAGAGCATAGTCCCTAGAACCAGCCAGACCTGACTCAGGAAATGACTCACTGTGAGACAAGTAAGGTCATTTAATTTTTCTAGATCATGGTATCCTTACATATAAGATGATATAATTCTGTTTAATTTGTAAAGATATAGGGGAAGACTAAATGAAACACAAGAAATGCCTACAAAGTATTTTCTCAATAAATATGGGCTCTCTTCATTTCCCTTTCCAACTTAACTGTTCATATTTTATATACTTCATAATTTCCCAACACAGTAAAAAAAAGTAAAATGAAGCAGAGAGAATTCGACAATTATACAAAGATAAGAAAAAATGTGCATCTCAAAGTATAATCTACAAATATAATACTCTATGCATTAAGCCACACATGTAAAGTGGTTATTTCTTCAAAAGAGCTGGAAAGTCTTGTTTTAAAAAATGAGCCCAGGGGCTGGGGGGGTTAGCCCAGCGGAAGGGCACCCACCCGGCGCGTGCAAGGCCCTGGGTTCGGTCCTCAGCCCTGGAAAAAAAAAAAAAAGCTACAAAAAATGAGCCCAAAAGGTAATTGTATGATCATAAAAAAAGATTGGATCTAAAAAATGGGCTAGGCTGGGAAGGTGGCTCAGTGGTAAAGAGCTTGCTTTGCATGCATGAGGCCCTGGGTTTGATTCCTCAGCACCACATAAGCAAAAAGAAAAAAGCCGGAAGTGGCGCTGTGGCTCAAGTGGTAGAGCGCTAGCCTTGAGCTGAAGAGCTCAGGGACAGCGCCCAGGCCCAGAGTTCAGGTCCCACTAACCGGACCCCCCCCCCAAAAAAAGGGCTGATCTGCATCAATCAGTAAGGGACTCATAACAGCTTTGGCAGGAAATAATTGTACTCTTTTGGGTCTCGTGCACTTATTTAAGAAGTAAAGGAGCTATGCTAGAATGTGGATATGCAGAGTCCCCCACAGGCCCATGTGTTGAAGGCTTGGTGGCATGGGGCACTATTGGGAGGGGTGGATCCTACAGGAGGTGGGGCCTACTGAGCAGCTTTAGGTCATCACAGGTAGGCCTTTGAACAGATACTAATCACTCCTCTTCCCCACCTCTGCTTTCTGGCTGTAAGGCAAGCAGTCTTATTCTGCCATGTGTTCCCCACCACTGTCTTCCAGCACTCCATCAGAAGCTTAGAAGCAGCAGGCTTGTTTGATAATGGACTGAAATTCTAAAACAGTGAGGGAAATAAATGTCTTCTCTTCAAAATTGATTATCTCAGTTATTTGTTATAATAATGGAAAACTGTCTAATACAAGCTCTAATCTGAGAAACTAGAGTAACTCCAAACCACAGAGGTGGCTTCTCCATTAGTCACCCCAATTTTATTTCCCTTACCAACTTTAAATTTACCTTATGAAGTATACTTTCACTATTAATCTAGTTTTCGTATCCAGTCACCCCTTCTCACTATTTTTCACATAAAAACACAAATCTAATGCTTTGAAACATGTTTTAAGTCTACCTTTGTAATAAACTGTGCTAACTTAGCTACAAAAATAGATACTAACCTGTATGCCAGTATGTGTGCAAGCTAATTTTGTAAATTCAATACATCGGCCATCATTCACATCCCACAGGCACATCTCCCTATAAAACAAAATAATAGCTAGCATTGTTCAATATGTGACAGTGATTGAAAATTAATCTTCCTTTAAAGTTAATATATTACAGAAAAGTAGCAAATTTATTATTCCTACTGGTCAAAATTTGGAATTCTCTCACCTACCATCCTAACCCCATCCGAACCTCCAGAATGTCTATTCCCCCACCTCAATCCACATCTGGATGTGTTTCTGGTTCCTTTTTGGTTGGTGGAATCCTGTGAGTAGATCTGACCAGGACTAATGAGAGACCCTCCAGAACTCTCTTTTTCATCAACCTCTGTTTCAGATATTGACTCTTTTAGACAACAGTTGCTCCCTCATCCCAAACCTCAAAGTAAGGATGATAAAATGAAGCAGAGCAAAGCCTCCAAGAAATATACACGAGTAAAAAGAAAAAAAGAAGCTTTTAAACTACTGAAATTTATCATTTGTTATCAATGCAGCTTGAAATGTAGTAATGTAAAAAAAATCAAAGTTAAAGTCAAAGAAATTCCAAACATTTACAATTTAAAAATACTCCACTATGATTCTGGATTTATTACAGTTTTACTAAGTACATACAAAAAAAGCTTATATATCAAAGTGAAGATAAGACATTGAAAATAGAAATGTCAATATAACATGTCTTTTGAAGAAATAAGATTCATTTAACAGAATAATAATAAAATTCAATTAATACTGGGTAAATGCGAGGGAAGTGGTGACATTGTCCAAAAGGAAACGTACTCTTTACCTGACCTATGTAAGTGTAACCTCTCTAGGGGCTGGGAAGGTGGCTCAGTGGTAGAGAGCTTGCCTTTCATGCATGAGGCCCTGGGTTCGATTCCTCAGTACCACATAAGCAAAAAGATAAAAGCCGGAAATGGCGCTGTGGCTTAAGTGGTAGAGCACTAGCTTTGAGCTGAAGAGCTGAGGGGACAGCGCCCAGGCCCAGAGTTCAGGCCCTACAACCGGACCCTCCCCCAAAAAAAGTGTAACCTCTCTATATATTACCTTCATAATAATAAAAAATTTAATGCAAATTACTAGAAATTTCAAGGGATTGCCTAAAGATATTGTATTTTACTTCTCACATGACACAAGTGTTTTTCAAAGAACACTCAATTTAAAACAAGAATTCTAATATGCTTTTTTCCTTTAACCAAGCAAGTACAACATTTTTACCTGCTATTGTCACTTTCCTTTCTAAAGAATCATATGAAGTTCTCTTCAAATACAAAATTACAAGAAAAGAGAAAACAATGTCTTATAGTTCTCCAACCTGCTTAAATAGTATATTATATGAATACACAACTTTCCAAATACCAAAAATATTTTTAAAAACTTCCTCACAATCTGGATCCTATAGCTACTGACCTGCCTCTCCAAAGGAAAGCAACACTATAAGACTTAGGAACAAAATCCACTATAATCATTTATTAACACACATAAATATAATTGCACAAACTTCCACAGAGCTTCATCTCCCAAATTTATGCCAGCTTAGCCTCATTCAGGATTTTTTGTAATATCAAAGTTGTCTGAAAATTCAACAAAAATATCGTAAGGATTAATGATCCTGGTTTAACTTTTATGTAGTCCTAGTATTCTCAAGGTAAAAAAAGAAATAATCATAAGTCATAACAATATTACAAGACTGTTTTACATTTATATCCTTAAAACCATAATTGTCAATGGAAGAAGTACCCCAAGAGAAAAAGAGGAAAGAAAAAGTGCCCTCTTTAAAAATAGTGTTACCATTTATAAAAACATAGGAAAGGAAGAAGATACTATCATATTGTAATACATAAAAACATGTAATTTAACTGTCAAAAAAATTTTAAGAGAAATGACCTGCATGCGTCAAAATAAAACCAAGAAAACACTTACCCACTTGCAGATGCACTGACAATATACTGTTTGTCACTAGAAGAACAAGCTTTAGACAAACAAGTGATTGAAGCTGTATGACCAAACAACAGTGCTCGAGGATTAACCTAGAAGTAAAAAAAGAAAAGTGACATAAATACAAAATAAAAAATATACCGTGTGTGTGTGTGTACATGCCAGTACAGTGCTTTCAACTTAGGGCTTCACACTCTTGCCTAGATTGTTTACTCATGCACTCTAACAGTTGAGCCATACATTCAGTCCAACATTCTACTGGTTAATTTCCGGAGATACAGTCTCACAGACTTTTCTGTTCAGGTTGGCTTCAAACCTCAGTCTTCTAATATCAGTTTCCTTAGTAACTGGGAGCCACAAGCACCCAGTTAAATACACCTTTTAATTCATAATCACGTTAAATACTCAAAATTTAACAAACATAGTAGGCCTGAAAAAGCAATTGCTCAGAACACTAAAACCTAAGAACAGACAGTTAACTCTGACCCATTTAATGTTCACAATCACACTACCAACTAGTCCTGATGCTGAAATTGAAACAAGAACTGACATTACCAATATCACATAGAGGACAGTGCCAGTATTCACTAATATATTCCTAAGCACTATCTATTTAGTATTCTGGGAAAATACGTTAAGAATTTGATTAATGTATAAAAAATAGTAATCAATACAACAAAACTTACACTTTATAAAAACTTTTGCTACACTCAAAACATTTACACTATAAAATATAAATGTTTTAATCTGTTTTTTTGTATCTCTTTGGAGACATTTTCAGTATGAGTTATAATATTTTGATATATCTTACATGTAACCTGGGATAATATTAAATGTGAAAGTTGCCAAAAGCCAGCAGACATTAATAATTCTAATGAATAAGATAGCCAATCTGCATACTATCAATTTTAATCAAAACATGTTTTGCAGAACATAAGAGTTTAAATTATTCCAGGACTATTTAATTTTCCATAAAATAGCTACTTATATTTAAAATGTACAGCAGGGCTGGGAAGGTGGGTCAGTGGTAGAGTGCTTGCCTTGCATGCATGAGGCCCTGGGTACGATTCCTCAACACCAAATAAGCAGAAAAAACCTGAAGGGGTGCTTTGGCTCAAGTGGTAGAGTGCTAGCCCTAAGCTGAAGAGCTGAGGGACAGCGCCCATGCCCAGAGTTCCGGCCCCACAACCAGCAAAATAGGTAAATAAATAAAATATACAGCAAACATTTCAAATACTCACTTCTAATTCTACTGAAAGGTCCCAAAGACATATCTGTCCATCATGGCATCCTGTTACAAGCGTGGTCCCATCATCAGTTAAAAGTACTGTTGAGATACAATGTGTTGGTGCTTTTCGGCCCCAAAGAACAATGGGTAGAACAAGGCTGTTTCCTGCCATTGTGTTTTCAAACCTGAAACTTTTAAGGTAATAATGTCAGATATCACATTTCCTTCTAAAGCAATTTGTATGTCATTATAATGAAGACAACAAATAAAATATGAAAATAAGCGTATTTTCCTAGTAGTAAATTTTAACCACTTAAAAACCTTGTCATTCCAAAAAAAAAAAAAAGACTAATTTGTTGTATCTACTTCCAGATTCATGTACCTAAAAACTTAAGACACCTGTGGACTTTAGCTTGGTGCCTCCATTTCTGTACTATAAAAATTTCCATGTACTCTAGTACTCTAGTCTCTACCTTCAAAAAACTTCATTTAAGGATGAATCACATCCTGAAACACAGAGGTCAACCATCTTTTTAATTGCTACCACATGGCAGAACTTTCCAATATCCTAAAGAGAACAACCTACAAAAAAAGCGAGAGAAAAGATGTTTTGACATTGCCCATTGATAGCTATTCTCTCTATACCCAATCATTTGATATAGGGTGTAGAGTGCTGGTTTGACACTGCTGATTATAATTTATTTGTCCTTTACTGTTCACTTTTTCCTGGTATAGTCTACCTCCTCAATTATCCTTTCTACATTCCCTCTTTTCTTCTATCCAGATATATGGAGACCTAGAAGGCCCTAAAAAATTCAAAAGACAAAGGAAAATCTTTTACTTTCTTTTGTTCCTAAGATGTTTTACCTTAAGTGTGACCTTTGAGGGTTTTGTTTTTCTTTTTGTTTCTTTGCTTTTTAAAAAAAACTTGGTTATTTATTTTTTCCTTTTTGATTTCCTCTCACATTTTTATTCAGAAAAAAATTCAAGTATATAAAGTGTCCACAAAACAGTATCAAGTTCTTCATCAAATATACTTTCATACTTCCCTTGTCAGTGTATATGTCTACATATATGCTTATTGATGCACATGTGTGCATAAACACACATACATGTACACAGAGACTTACAAGTTGAATAATTTGAAAATATTCTATACAAATCATAAAAATTCAGGTCTAAGGACTTTTTGAAATTTTTATTGAGATTAAGATGTCTAAATACTTTTAAATACAGAACTTAAAAGATATAGTTTCATATACATAATACCATTATCACTGTCACAATTATCAGCAACATCGCAATTCAAATTACTTCAACTGTCTACAAAATGCTTTTTGTGGTATTTTCCAAGCCTATAAATTAAAAAAAAAAAAACCTCAAGTTTTATTTCCACCCCCACTTAGGGTACTAAGTGGTTTTGTCCTCCTGTAATTCATATGTTGAACTAACCACTAATGTGACTATATTTGGAAACTAGGCCTGTAAATAAGTAAGATGCTAAGCTAGTGGGTTCAATGTGCTATGGCTGGTGTTCAGTAGTGAAAGCTTCACGCTTGCTTAGGCTGATATTCTAACACTTGAGCCACATCCACGGCCCTTTTTGGTTTTAATTATTTTTAAGATAGGGTCTTGAGTTTTTTCCCACAGCCAGCCTCAGATCACTATCTCTTAACTATTCTTCTGATTCAGGTACACCACTGTACACAGCTTGTTTTGTCTGGGCTGCCTTCAAATTGTAGTTCTTCTATGTCTGCTCCAGAGTACCTGAGATTACAAGGAGATAGTGTCCTTATACAAAGAAGATATATAAGACCTTTCCTCCCTTTGCCACTTGAACACAAACAGAAGAGCTTCGCCAGAAACAAACCCTGGCAAGTCTTGATTTGAAATTTTAGCCTCCAAAACTATGAGATGATAAATTTCTGTTACTTAAGCCACAATGTCTTCAGTATTTTGTTATGGAAGCCCAAACAGATTTGTTGTTATGCCTCTTTAGTTCCAGAACAACAATCATTTTATTTTCTTTCTCATACTAACTTTTTAGAAACAACACAATGCCAATGTTTGTCTAATATTCTGTATTTTTTATTTTTTGTGATAGTCTTCTTAGGATTAAACTTTGTCTCTGGCCTCTGTTTTTTCTATAAACTGAAGACTGAATTAAAAGCATCATTAGGCTCAAGTCACTCTTTTGGCAAGAATACGCCATAGGTGACGTAACTCACATTGCAGGATCATAAAATGCTTGTAATGGTACTTTGTCCTACCATCAGTGACACTACTTTACCCATTTAATCAGGAAACTAGGCACCAAATATTTGCACTGTAACTGTAGTTATTTTCTCCTTTGAAACTATGCATAAGTCATGAAGTGATACTCCGATAAGACCATCCTATATGCTATGTAATACTGGTATCTTGAGCAATTTCTAAAAGCTACAAAAGTAAAATATTTTCAAAAATCAAGCATTAGGTCAACCTTATTTTCTCCATATTTGTTTTTCTGTCAAGTGCAAAAGCAAAATATGTTTCTATCCTATATAGTCATTTTCAGAGGAGCATCAATTATCTTGTGCTACGTACCAGGAATACACCCTGTGACAGCAGACAAAAACAAACCCAACTTTTCTCATGGAAACAGCATACATGAACTAGAATAGGCCTTAGCTACCTAAGTACCAATGGAGAATATGATGAGCAGTGACTACAAACATAAATAGCTAAACGTTCTTGCTACAGCAGCATGGAAAGAAGAAATGTTTCTAAGGACCTAATAAAATTCTCTGACAGTATTCCTCCCTCACTTGTCAAAACAAAGTGTCCAAATCAAGTTCACAGTATGGTGTCATGAAGAAACTGATTAATTTCTTTTGGTTTGTACTTTTGCCACAAATTTATTGAAGACTTTGGAAAAAAATCTGTAGTAGATAATAAAGACAGTTTGGGGGAAATCCTAGATTCTAAAACCAATTCTCAGCTGCCTCCTTACAAGAGTACACTGTTGGTGTTTAAGAGTTGTGAGGGCTGAGCACACACAGGTGGCTCACATCTGTAATCCTAGCTACTCAGGAAGGTGAGCTCTAAGGATCATGACTGCAAGCCACCCAGTCAGACATGTATCTGAGACTCTTATCTCCAATTAACTACCAAAAAACAAAAACCAGAAGTAGTCAAGTACCAGCCTTGAACAAAAAGTCTACCCCCCCCAACAAATAAAAGATGTCTGTGGGACACAGCTTTTCTAACACCTAAGCAATTGACACTGCCATACCTTATTTGGGTTACAAGATATAATCTTGATGCACCTGATACTTTAAGACTACTTTCTTAAAGGAAGTTCTTGTACTTGGTTTCAAAAGAACATGTGGAATGAGCAGATGGTACTAGGACACGACACATTTCTTATAGCTAAAGCAGCCCTGAGCACATACTTAGAGATTTTTGAAGAGCTGCAGAATTGTCAGTTCAAAAATAAATCAAAAATTTTAAGGTACTCATAGATTCTGAGGCATATAAATCATTCTTTAATTTCTGCTGTTGTCATTAAGATGTCTGCATTCTTTCACTATCACCAATCTGCACTAATTTCAAGTTCTGATTAAGCTAAAGTGTACTATGCCTACCAAGCTCTCACTTTTGGAGGAAACAGATTCCGTTTAATGGAACCAACTTCACCTTCTTCCTAGCCTGCCTCTAATCTCACATGCAGCTCCAATCATTTCTAGTTCTTTACCTCAAATTTCTATCAAAACTCTCAATAGCCCTGTAAATAGTTCTTCATTGATCAAGACAGGGAGGGGTGAATTTTTTACTCCTGCTATCCTTGAACTACGATCCTTCCAATCTCAGCCTAAAGGGTAGCTAGGATTACAGGTATGAGTCACAACACCCAGTAAAATACTATCCTCTTGGTGAGATCTTCCCTGACCAAACAAACTGCAAAATCCACTACACAAAAGAAGCTCTTGCCATCATTTAACATACCATGTTTATGTGTATATCATCCATGTTTACTGCTATAATGTAAGTACCATGAAAATGAAAATTGGTTTTCATTTTATTCCGTATTATATTCCTACTGCTTAGAATTCCTGGCACATAGAAAGAAAACAATGGGGGAAAAGGGAACAAGTTAATAAAGTATATTTGCTTTGGATTTTAAAAAGTCATATCCCGCAAAAAAAAAAAATTAAAGCAAATCATGTCCTGATTTTACATGTATTGATTTTGACAAGGAGTTTTTATGAATTTTCTGCAATAATCCATCAATTAATACACCTCCTTAATCAAATCCTCATTAACATACTATTTATTCTCAGCTGCAAGTTTTACTGCTTCCTTTTATTCTCTAGGTGACACATACACAAAAAACATACCTTAGGACCAACAAAACAAATTAGCTGACAGAATCACTATTATATTCACTAATCTCTGGCAATAAAGGAAAAAGATGTTGGTCAAAACAAAGTGAGACTCATTAATATGAACCTTTTACTCCCACTAACGGTGGTTGGTACTACTTGTTCATATTTGAAAAAGGTTAGAAACAGTAGCCTACAAGAAAGGCAGTCAATGGGCTGGGAAGGTGGCTTAGTGGTAGAGTGCTTGCCTGGCATGGATGAAGTCCTGGGTTAGATTCCTCAGTACCACATACATAGAAAAAGCCAGAAGTGGTGCTGTGGCTAAAGTGGTAGAGTGTTAGCCTTGAGCACAAAAAGCTCACAGACAGTGAGTGCCCAGTCCCTGAGTTCAAGCCCCAGGACTGGCAAAAAAAAAAAAAGAAAAAGAAAGGCAGCCAAATATATAAAATGGAATCCAACCTCAACCAGGCTGTTATCACTGACATATATTATCCAAAGAGAAATATACACACACACACACACACACACACACACACACATATACATACATACATACACACACAAAACACCAGGAAACTATCTTTAACTAGCATGAAGGGTCATAAATTACAAGTGTTAGAAGGTTTCTATTAAAAAAAAAAACCCAACAACTCTTAACACCTTGAAAATTTTCTAGGACCCTAACATTTTATTGTTCTATTTTTTTTTTAAATATGTGGTACTAAGGTTTGAACTTTGAGCCTTGCACTTCTAGGCTGTCTTGACACAAGTCAGTCATGCAAATAGCCCTGTTTCTCCCACTGGCTAATTCTAAGATTGGGCTCCCTTCCTACTCAGGCATGTGCCTGAACCAAGATCATTAAGGAAAGAATAATGCGAAGGATATTGGTATGTCATACAGAAAAGAAACTGGATCACCAATTTATGATGTATAAAAATCCAATTCAAAAAAAGTGAACTCTGGATTATGAAAGCCTATGAGTTTAAAAGAAAACTGTAAAATTAGCAATACATAACATGGGAGGAGTTACTTTGTGATATAAAAGCAAAGAAAGACTTTTGAAACAAAATTCACAAAAAACCTATTGTATCAAAATTAAAGATGTCTGCTCAAAGAAGGATATAACAAAAAATGTAAGTGACAGCCAGGCACCAGTGGCTCACACTTGTAATCCTAGCTGCTCAGGAGGGTGACAGCTGAGGATGGTGGTTTGAAGCCCGCCCAGGCAGGAAAGTCCACAAGATTCTTCTCTCCAATAAACTACTCAGAAAAAGCTAGAAGTGGTGCTGTGGCTCAATTGTTAAAGCTCTAGCCTTGAGCAAAAGAAGCTCCAGGACAACATCCAGGTCCAGAGCTCAAGCCCCAGGACTGGAAGAAAAAAAAGTTAATGACTAAAATTAAAGATAATTTAAATAATAATTAAAATAATTACTATCTATTTATTTATTACTATCTATTAAAAACAACAAAAAATACTTCAGAAAAGAAAAAGTTGTAGCTGGGCACCGGTGGCTCATGCCTGTAATCCCAGCTACTCAGGAGGCTGAAATCTGAGAATCATGGTTCAAAGTCAGCCTGGGCAGAAAAGTCCATGAGACTCTGATCTCCAATAAACCACTAGAAAATCAGAAGTGGTGCTGTGGCTCAAGAGGTAGAGTGCTCACGTTGAGCTGAAGAGCACAGGGACAGCGCCCAGGCCCAGTGTTCAAGCCCCATGACCAACAAAAAAGAAAAGAAAAGAAAAGAAAAAGTTGTGCTGTGACTGTTGACAATAGCTAGGCTATGGAAACAACCCAGATGCCCCACCACAGATGAATGGATCCAAAAATTGTGGTATCTATACACAATGGAATATTATGCAGCCATTAGAAATGACAAATAATGGTAGTTGCAGGGAAATAGATGGAGCTAGAAGGAATCATGTTGAGCGAGGCAAGCCAAGAGCAAAGAGATAAACGGTACATGGTCTCCCTGGTAAGTGGATGCTAAATCCAAAATGTTAGGTGATACGACAAAATAAACAGGACTTAAGAAACAAAGAATTCCACTCATCTGGTGGAACCACTACTAAATATCCCCATGCTGCTGATCACATGTATGGTGTATATGTGTACGCCATTATATGTTATAGACTGTGATAGACAATTTGCTCCAGGAAAGTTAGAATGAGCTTGTGACTTTAAATGAGCATCATTATTCCACAATACTGTGAAATTTGGAAAATTATGTAATTACTTAATCACAATTAAAAAAAAAAGAACCTCGGGGAAGGTAGGGAGGGAAGGGATGTTAGGGGGAAAACAATGGAGGGGGGTAACAATTACCTTGCTTATGTAACTGTAACCCTCTGTATAGTATCTTTACAATAAAAAAATTTTAAAAAAGTTGTGCTGTGGTTTGGATATGGCTGAACTGTGCTCCACTAAGAGGACTTGTGTTAACATTTAATCTCATTGTGAGGTACAAGGGAGTGGAAATTTAACCTGACTGTATTGTTTAGAGATGAGACCTTTAGGAAGTGATTAGGATTAGATAAGGTGATCAGAACAGAACCCCCATAATTGAATACCAGTGGTTCCAAAGAAGAGGAAGAGAAACCAGACAATGCATAAATACATTCTCTCTCTCTCTCCCTCCCTTCTCCCACTCTCTGTCTCTCTGCTTCCTGCTTCCTGTCTCTAATGATGTGATGCCTTGCACTGCCTCAGTACACAGACTGCAATAAAGTTATCACTCTATGTGGTCCAGAACTGATAGTCAAAACTACGCTTTCTCACATTAAAAAATGATCAAATCTGTGGTAATGTTACTAGCAACAGCAAACATCCTAAGACTGAAACAACAAAAGGAGTAAAATGAGTAAAGTAAAATGAGTAAAGGATTCAAGAGGCAAATTTTGTAAAAGGAAAAAACTACAAAATATAAAATGTTTATGAGGAAACACTCAAATTGGTTTGTACTAGTGAGATGTAAGTTAAGATGAGATTTTATCTTTTATTTATTAGTCTAGAAGAATTAAGGCAGCAAACAACTCCAAGCATGGTGGGGACAAGTGTTTGAAAACACTTGCAAGACTACGGACCCACTGCAGCTCATTCTGGAACATAATCTGGCAATTTCAATAAACTGTATGAATATGGTACACTCCACAATCACATTTCTGCATACATCTAAAAGGTATGCTTTTCTCATATTGCCTATAATGCTAGGAAAATGAAAGTCATATGGCTATCCACAAACAGTAGATTAACTAAAATAGACAGACATTCTGAAATACTGTGACATTAGAAACAATAGACAACACAAACAGATCTCCAAAATGCAGTAAGAAAAAGAAGTCAATGCAATATATAGCATGATATCTCTATGAATTAAAAATGTAGGCACTGAAAGCAATGCCTATTTAATAACACAGCCAAAAAGGAGCACATAGCATACATAATGGAAAGCTTGTCACTGGGTTGATGAGCAAGAAAATGCAGTGGCATTTGGAAACAAAAGGCAATGAATAGAGGTAGGGGAGGCTTGCACAAACAAATGATTACTTAACTAAGTAAGATTAACTCAATCCTCTATGCCTGAAGTCCAAAACAACTTCTAAAGACTCATTTATAATGTATGTATGCCAGCAAAGTTAAAAGTTAAAAACATTTCACTACTTTTAAAGTTCTCATTGTTTAAGCTCCCATAGAGAAAACCTCACTCCACTTCCTTCAATTTTAAAATAGAGCTTCTTATGTTTCCAAGATAAAAGGAAAATTGTTGCATTCCAGGCTCACTGCCTCAAAATTTAAGTTCCCATGGTAGTATTCTGATCTAAATGTGCCTCTGTGATTCATCTCATCTCCCAAGTCTTTGTAAATTAAGCTATAAATAGCAATAAACAGACATTTAAAAGAACAAATTTCTCTATAATAATCTAGCTAATGGTGACGATGAGACCTTTCCTATCTATTGATACTAGTTTGTATGCAATTGAATGTAATGAAGATTCACTATTTTGGATGAAATTGGGCAGTTTTTATTCTTCCTAGTAATAACGACATTTTCAACACGTTATTTTCATTTTTTTGAGTGGCCATCCACCTCCACATTGTCACCGTTTGCTTATCAAACAAGCAACAGATGTAAACTACAATTTTTATATAACAAAAGCCAAAACTTCCGCCTTTTGTTATGGGCAACTCTTGCACTCGTTCATAAAATTGAAGCAATAGATATCAAAAAGAGTTAAGCGTCTGCCCTTTTCATTTTGTGGCAAATGTTGCAAGGAAAGAAATCTGTAGCTGCTCCTGCTTACACCCTAAAATCGGCAGCATCCAAAGACAAACACAGGTTGTGATGTAACTCAAGTTGCCATCATTTCCAATGTAAGAACGTGTGAATTCTGCACCGGACCTGAGAAAGAGACATATCCAGTGGATCAAAAACAAACGCCATGATGTTTGAATCAGAGGCAGGGTAGCTCCCACTCCAAACACAGCCTCAGAACGCTGGGCCCATGAGTAAACCAAGTAGCACAGACTTGCAGACCAAGAAGAAGGGCAAAGGGATGACTGATGACGGGCACAGGCAAGTGGCAACTCAAGGATGAAACCATAGCAGTCGGCAGTACCTCGGGCAGGGAGCAAACCGAAGCGCAGCACCAAGAGGGAAGGGCAGACCCTGTGTATCCCCCAAAGCATTGTCCACAGCCACTCGCGACCATCACTAATCACCTCACCTCGTTTAGATTGTCCCTACTGGCAAAGTAGTGTCACGGGCCACTCTTTCAAGCACCAATGTCACTCATCAGCCCAAAGGCCCCCAAAGCCCCCTGGGCCGGAGCCCAGGCTCCCGATAAGGGCGTCAGGGGATGCGCCGGCCCCAGGAGGAGAAGCTCCGAACTCAGCTCCCAGGAGCAGAGATCTGACAGCCGGCGCGGCCCCCGGCTAGGGCCGGGTGTGTGACCTGTGACCTTCGACCCCTTCATTCCACCGCGCAGGGGCGTCGCGCGCCGGGGCTGACCCGGAGGCTGGGAAGCCCCTCACCTGTCCGTCACGGCTTCACCTCATACTGCGAAGCTGTCAGCCAGCCGTGGGCACCCCGGGAAACGAGGACGCGGCGAGGGAAGAGCTTCTCAGGAGGGTGTCGGGTACGCAAGTCCGTGTGGGCCGGTCCTGCCGGGCCGCCCTCTCTTCACTGAGGCTGCAAGGTGCTGTGGCCGCGCCGCCGCCGCCGCTACCGCCGCCGCCGCTGCAGTAAATCAGCTGACACCAGCCTCAACTGCCGTGACTTTCGCCGCAACTGTCGCAAAAGTGAGGAGGAGGGAGGGACGTGCTCAGAGCTTCCCAGGGCGCCACGCCATTGGAGGAACGGCCGTGTTACCATGGAAACCGGACGGCTGAAAAAGCGATCTAGTGTGGGCAGGGAGTGCACGGCCGCCATTATGGTTGTGGGAAGTCTGGTCTAGGCTCTCTTCTTGCCTCTCGTTCCCTTGTTGGGATGATCAACTTGGTGAGAAGGATGGAATGGACAGTCTAGGTGTTCTTTGGAACCAAGATGTTCAAAATGTGTGCTTCTACGGTTGTGTTTCAGGAAGCTGGAAAATGTTACTGTTTCCTTCTGACCTCGGAATTGAGCTGTTACCCCTGACCCAAGACTGTGAGAGGAGGAACTTGGGGTATGTGACTAAAGGAAGTCTGACCTTGTGCAACACTCCTAGTGAAGAAATGAATAATACATTTTCCCTGTGGGCAGCAAAGGAAAGGTGGAATCTGAGCTCTGTATTCACATCTCTCACCGCTTAGAGGCCAGTGTCATCTTGGGCAAAATTTTTGTTGCTTCTCTTTATTCTCTCTTTTTTGATACCGTTTACAAAGCGAGGATAATGACCTCGAATTGTCTATCAAGTTAAATGAACTCCATAAGTGTTAATGCCTCATGCGTGTCTGTCTTCCTCTCAGTATTTGAGAGGAAGAATGTTGAATTCATTCAATGGCAGAGAAGAGGAAAAGTAATACTGGGTTGGTGACTTGACACTTCCTGTCGTTTATTATTATTATTTTAATGGAAAGTCTTCCTTTTCTCCCCAGTTTAGACCTTTTCTTCCCAGAAACACGTGACAAACCAATCAGTGTCCTGATAAGTTTACTCCAAACTTCTTCCTTAGTTTGTGAAGCATATAGCTAAGGAACTGTCAGTTAGGTCCTGAGGTTTCTTATTTACAGTTTCTGTTTATTTGTAGACACCAGCTCTGCTGCTATCATGATTGGAAAATATGGACCACAATGTTCACCAGGGAAGTCAGTGAAACACTTGAAAAATCTATAATTCTGAGGTTGTCTTTTATTGCAAATTGGAGTTCTATTATTTTCTTCTATTTTTAACTAATTGCCATATAATCACATTAGTGAATGGAAAACCAAAAGATGTTTAAGAGAATAATTCCTTGGCCAGCTAGCTTTAATATATTCACTCCCTCTCCTGTTACAGCACTAAATTCATAATTTCCTCCACAATATATAGGAGCTTTTTGGAAATATAAGAAACATGGTATTCACCACAGGATATTCTTAGACTATGTTAAAACTTGCTTAATTTGTGAAAGACACCTGATGCCTTTCCTAGATAAATAATCTTATTCAACAAACACTAGTTAGATAATTTGTTGTTTCAAATACCTTCTGAAAAATGAGGTGACTGGAAAGATTTATGAAAAGCTTCAGACTGATAGCACTTTGATCCTTCTTTACAATGTTTACAAAATTTAACAACAAAGTTGATAAATTTTGCGCATACCTGTAATCCTAGCTACTCAGGTAGTTGATTTATGAGTACCACAGTTTGAAGCTAGTATGGGCAAGAATGTCCATGAGACTCTTATCACCAGTTAACCAGCAAAAAGTTTATGGTGGAGATGTGGCTCAAGTGATAGTCCAGCCTTGAGCAAAAAATCCAAATAAGAGCAAGGAACCCTGAGTTCAAGCCGCAGTGCAAGTGTACACATGCACATGTACACATAAAACTGCTTGCATTTCTGGATTGTTGTAAGATGTTCTTACAAAAGTATGTATTTTCCATGACAAATGATAATTATTTTTAATTTCTGAGGATTTGTTAGAGTTGTTGCTGAGTTGATTCTATCCACTAGGCTAAAAATTAACTCCTTGATTCCATTGCCCTTGTTGTCTGGATAATAACCAATTTCTCCTCTGCTAACTTCAAGTGTTTCTCAAGTAGTCATTCTTTTGGTTTTTGACCTTTGACCACTTTGATTCTGCTTCTTTATCTGATGAGTCATGTCATTTTATTCTTGGTTTGTTGTCATTTTTAAATTCACTTTGTAACAGTTTGCTTTTCTGTGTATTTCCTGACTGCTACTTTAACAGTACCAACTATGTCTTTTATGATGATAACTCATGTATTTATCTGCAGATGATTATTTGACCACCCAGCCCCCAAATGGAGTTTGGACATTTAATTTTTTTTTGTATAAGGCAGAGTCACAAAAGAAAAAAGTTGCTGAGCACTGTTGGCTCATGCCTGTAATCCTTGGGAAGCTGAGACTTGAGGACTGTGGCTCAAAGCCAGCCTGGGCAGGCAAGTCCATGAGACTTTTCTCCACTTAACCATCAGAAAACTGGAAGTGGTGCTCTGGCTTCAAGTGGTGGTAGAGTGCCAGCCTTGAGTAAAAAAGGTCAGGGAGAGTGTCTAAGCCCCAAGTTCAAGCCCCATGACTGAAAAAAAAATTACTATATTCAAAGTGGGCAATTGTGGATTACTTAGTAAGGAGTATAAATCTGTAAAGAAAGGGACTGGATTAATCATATGACAAGGTTCTGGGGAGTGAGAATAGGGGAGAAAAAAAGTGGTAGTCCTTGTAAGCCAAATGACCTCTTTTGGCATTAGAAGAATAATGGTTCTAAGCACTGCTGGTTAGCTAGTAGATAGTATCTGCGCTTACTAGTTATTTTAGTGCTAGATGGCTAATGGTGGTTCGTGCTCTAAGCATGAAAAGTGTACCTAGAAATCATAGGTGCCAGCCTGGCGCTGGTGGCTCACGCCTGTAATCCTAACTACTCATGAGGCTGAGATCTGAGGATCACAGTTCAAAGCCAGCCCTGGCACGAAAGTCCATGAGACTCTTATCTTCAATAAATCACTCAGAAAACTGGAAGTGGAGCTGTTGCTCAAGTGGTAGAGCACTCATCTTGAGCTGAAGTGCATGATGGTTACCTACTATGAGATTATAGTGGCCACAATCTCTTCTGTCTGTATAAGGTTTCCATTTCATGACACTTTGTCTACTCGGGTCTACACTAGTGTCATCAGGCTGAGTAGCCAGACCAAGTTTCCTCAGTTAGTACTCTGGCATTACCAATAGCCAAAAGCAATTCCTGCACCCTGGCCTGAAGAGACAAATAGTGTTAAGGAACTCAAAGAGGGTAATGATATGATAGGAGGTGACAAAGACAACTTAGAGCAATATAGCAGAAAGAGAACTGAGAGAATGAATATAACAAGATCATTCGTTTCCATCATTAAGAAAGTAAATGCCTCTGTTAGATTTAAATTTTATAAATGTCTCTTTGCATCTTCCTTCTCAAGAATGTGTACATTGCTAAAGTTTGCTTCTGAAAAACAATCACTCAGAATTTCAGCCTATACAAATTGCAGATGGCAGGATAAGTTTATAAACAAAAAATGAAGTGGGGTAAAAGAGCTAAAAAAGAATGAGTAAGAAGTGCAAAAAAATGACGAAAGAAGGGCAGGGCACTAGATCTTCAGCACTAAAACATTTTAGGGAACAGAAAGGAGACCCACTCACCAGAAAGTTGTCTTTAAGACTCCAATTATCCCTGTTTAACCTAAGATCGATCTATGTATCCAGCAAGGTGGCTAACATGGGCTGAAGTGCTCTCTTCCCACAGTATACCTATGCCACATGTTCTCTTTACCTTATTTCATTCTAATAATTTTTCTATCACCTTTACTTATGTTCAAGTCTTGCCTGAGTTCTTTTGCCAGACATAAGGACTGAGCTGCCCTAAATTTCCTTCTCTCTCTTTTTTTTCTCAGTAATTGGCCCCTGAAATTTCTTAGGTTGAATTTCTGCCCCCAATGATGACAATATTTAGAGATAAGCTTTAGAGGAGGACATTAAGATCAAGCTAAGCCATCAATAAAGTCCTAATTGAATAGGACTATTGTCCTTGTAAGGGAAGGAAGAGCATTGTATGTACATGCACATACTGACAAAGCCTATGTGAAGATGGAGTGAAAAGAAGACATAAAGAAACAGAAACCTCAGGAAAAACCAACTGGTAGCACTTTCATTTTGTACTTCAAGTCTCTGAACCATGATACACTTACATCATCCACTCTGTAGAATTTTGTTATGATAGTTCTAAGACAATCCATGCTTATTCTTACATTTAATAAACAATGTTCTCCAGGTGCTGGTGGCTCAAGACTATAATCCTAGCTATTCCGATGGCTGAGATCTGAGGATCATGGTTTGAAGCCAGCTCAGGTAGGAAGTCCATGAGACTCTTTTTTTTTTTTTTTTTTTTTTTGGGTCCAGTCGTGGGACCTGAACTCTGGGCCTGGGCGCTGTCCCTCAGCTCTTCAGCTCAAGACTAGCGCTCTACCACTTGAGCCACAGCGCCACTTCCGGCTTTTTTTCTTTTTGTGCTGAGGAATCGAACCCAGGGCCTCAGGCATGCAAGGCAAGCACTCTACCACTGAGCCACCTTCCCAGCCCTCCATGAGACTCTTATCTCCACTTAAGCACCAAAAAACCAGAAGTCTAGGTGTGGCTCAAGTGGTAGAATGCTAGGTTTAAGTGACCAAGCTAAGGGGCCATGTTCAAGTTCCCAGTACTGGCACACATATATATGTTGATTAAGCATCTTGTGTTTGTTTCTTTACATATCTCAGTCACTATGAACTTCAGCCCTCACAATTCTAAAACTTAGGTATTGTTAATACAATTCTCACACAGAAGCCTAAATTCAGAGGTTTGTGGCTCATCCAGAGCCACAAAGTTTGAATTAGAGATAATCCTGCCAGTTTTCCTATGAAAGCCTTTACACTGTGGTAATATCACATGAAAATTAAAATGATCTAATAAGAATAAAGAGCTTACATCTTGTACATTATGTGATAAATAAACATCATCTGCTCACTCAACTCACATCATTATACCTCCTAATCCGTTTGCCTGGAAATTTCCGACTATATTTTGCCATCTAAACAGTCCAGTATCTTATCAAGATTGAATTCTGAGGTTACATCTCCTAGTGTTCACCTAGTACCATCTTCCCACCTAATTTGTTCCTACCGTTTCCTGCTCAAATTTGTTTCTGTAACTGTCGTCTGCACCTGTCACTAGACTTCAGACTAAGGAGTCCTATTGGCACAATTTACACGCACAATATTTTGTGAACAACTATTCAGAGAGCATCCATATGTAAGCGAGATCCATACATAGACATTCATCTGTTTCCGGTCGTGCGGAAGGACCTGTCCCGAAAAAAGGACCTTAGGCAGTATCCGGAAACCCCGAAAGTACCCCTGTCGCTGCCAACTCGCAGTAAGAACCTCAGGTCTGGAAAACCCAAAATGCCTCAATTGCAAAGTCGCAATCTGCGCCTGCGCCACACGGCTGCGTAAGGCCCGCCCAGTCACATTTTGCGTCTTTTTGATTGGGCCATGGGCTTCAAAACCGACAGCACGGAAATGACGTCAAAAGGCGTAGCGCCGGCCGCCCTGCGGCGCGGTGGCTGCTGGGTGCGCGCCTCCCGCCTTCCCGCGCCGCCTCCCGCCCCTCCCCCTTCCGTCCCCGCCCCCTCGGCCGCTCCGCTCCCTGGCGTGACTCGGCACTGTGATCCCCGGGAACAGGCGCCGCGGTCGCCGCGTCTCCGGCCCAGGCCTCGGCCTTCCCGAGCCTCTCCCTTTCCTCTTCCGAGCTTTCTTCCCCTTCAGTTTCGAAGCCGAGGCGCCGCGGCCGCCCTGCCGGGCTCTCTGTGAGGATGGTGGGAGTGAAGCCGGTCGGAAGCGACCCGGATTTCCAGCCGGAGCTGAGCGGCGCGGGCTCCAGACTCGCGGTGGTCAAGTTCACCATGAGAGGGTGAGGCCGTCCGGCCCGGGTCCGGCGGACGTGCGGGCCGCGGGCCTCGCTGTCAGTCCGGGCTCTTTCTTAATGCTGCTTCGCGGGGGGCGGGCCCCCGTTCCCCCCGCCGCCTTCTGCGGAGTGTCCGGTGGTGGCCGGAGCCCCAGGCCGCGGCCGGGAGTAGGCCGCGGGTGTCGGGTAGGAGCCTCCGTTTCTGCACCGGGGCTGCCCTGGAGCCCCCGGAAGCGAGGCCCGACCCCTGCCCCACCTCGGAGGAGCCCCGTTCCTGTATTCCTGGGGTGGGGGGCGGCCGGCGGCGCGGCCGGCTCCTCCCACAGCCTGCACCAGTGCGCCCGTCCCGAGCTGTCACTCGCGTGTTAACAACTCCAAGCTTACATTTCCGGACACTTCGATACTTTTCACCCCCTGCATTTCTGTATAAGCCTTTACAAGACTGATTTGTTAGACTTATCTGAGTAGGGGGTAGTTCCGAAGCCCGGCTCATGCATTTTGAATTAAGTTGATGTTGAGTCGAGGTTTTGCTTTTTGGGTTTTTTTTAAATGTTTTTTTTTTTGGTTTGTTTATGGTGCCATAGGCTCCATGTGTATTCGTACAAGCTACAGTGTTTACGTATTACAGATAGACAGGTGGGCTGGACCTCAGTTCGGCCAGATTGTATGGACAGGGAGGGTTCTTGGACAAATGTTGCTTTGGGTTTAAGAGCAAAAAAAATTCGAAGCTGGTGACTGTCTTACACTAGCTTGTACTGGTTTTTTGGAGGGGTTCGGGGAGAGTGGGAGGGATGACTGTTGGAATTAGGCATTGAGAACCAAGATTAAGTGCTCACTTAAAGATTTCCCTTGTATATGTCAGTTCCCAGTTAGAAGTTTCAGAGGACCTCCCTTGATCCTCTGGCAGTATTTACACAATACTAACTGGGACCAGTCGGCTTCGGTTTATCACTGTTTATGAAGTAATGTGTTTCAACGTCCAAGTAGTTGTATAAATGTAAGGTAATATTATTTTTTTAGTGTCACAGCAAAAAAAAATTAAAAACACTTGGTACAATGCATGTGGAGTATGTAAGTGGTAACATTATGATTAGTTACGATTACATAGGGAGTATGATTAGTTACGATTACATAGGGAGTGGAGGGATGGAGGCAGAGATGATGACAAATTAATACTGTATTTTGGACCAGAATTGAATTCAATTCATTGGATTTAAGAGAGTGGAATAGAGTGCCCATTTGATATGTGGTCTTAACACTTACTAACTGGATTTCATTTACATCAAGACATGTCTAAAAAGGAGTATCAGAATTCTGTAAATGTGGCTTTGCCTTTAACAATTTTGTAATGTTAATAACCTTACTAATAGAGGAATATCAACACATTTGTTGAATGTCAAAGGCACAGGAAAAAGAGAAGCAATGTTTCAACAAGCAGTTTCACTGTTAGCTCATTTTTCTAATTCTGGTCAGTTAGAGCTTTTACAGTGTTGCACTTCAGTCGTATTTCTCTTCATATAAGAGCAAAAGGTGATAGAATAATAACTACCATTGGAGTGAGATGAGTGGAGAAACCCCACTAAAGAGTTATTAGTATGTGTTGCTTATGTGTAATTGTAGACTGATTGGTAAAGAACTATTAATGGAATAAAAATGGTATTTTAGGGGGTAAAAACTGAAGGCAAATAAATGTATGAATATATAGAGAACACTTTTAGTTTAAAATGTTTAGGTTACATTTATAGATCTAACAAGGTTTTATTTACCTTTAAACTTCCTTTCACATGTTGACAATTAGTGGATTCCTGTTTGAACTCATTGTCAGTGTAACCTAGATTTCTGAATACTGCTCTATTAGATGCCTAGACAACTGTATCCAGTAAAATTGTGTCAGAAACCTTAGATCAGCATTAATGTCATCTCATTTTAGGCTCAGGGCATACTTTCTGGAGCACTTCATTTCCTTGCCAGACTTATTTTAAGCTTTATTCTCAGTTTATGTGTTTTATCTGCCTTTAGTCTAAATTTCACTAAAACTGTGTACATTGTTTTCTTCTTTAAGGATCTTCAGTGGGCTTAGTGGTGATTTGCTTAAAAATAAAATACAATGAGATATACAACCCAAATGATCATTGGCTGGCCTTGAACTCATTCCTAATCCTCCTCAGTCATCCTTCTGAAGAACCAGGATTCAAGGGTGCCCTACCACACCATTGTCATTTTAGCAATCTTAAAAAGTACAGTTCAGTGTACCTTCACAACGTTGTGCTATTATGACCATTGTTTCCTAGAACTTTTTCATTATTCAAGACAGAATAATTAAACAATTCATCCTCACTTTTCCAGTTAGCCTGTGTTCTGTCTCTTAGCTTTTTTACTCAGTGCTGGCATTCTACCACTTAAGCCACAGCTCCACTTGTGGCTTTTGGTGCTTAATTGGAGATAAGAGTTTCACAGACTTTCTTGGCTGGATTCATATCTCATATGAGTCCTCATATCTCAGCCTCCTGAGTAAGTAGGATTATAGGTGGGAGCTACTGGTACCTGACATTAGGCTGTCTTTTGCATTTGTAAACTTTAAATACTAAATTTGCTAATTTCTGCAAGAAAACTTTTTATAACTTTATAACTAAGTTGAGGAGAATTTGTATCTTAGTAGCACTGTTTTCTCTCATTCATAAGCATAGTATATTCCTTTGGCTTTCTTCAGTTTCTTTCCATGAGAGTAAAGCTTAAAGACAGCAATGTTAGATCTGATACAGTATTTGTGCTAAGCAATATAGTATTGACAAAAATGTACCAAACCAGTTGAAGACTAAAAGTATCAATTTTGTTTCATGCTACAATTGACAACTACTTTTAGATTATAATTAATTCAGGCTTTGGTCTTTTCTAAGTATCTTTCCCTTTCTTACAGGTGTGGACCATGTTTGAGGATTGCCCCAGCATTCAGTTCCATGAGCAATAAGTATCCACAGGCTGTTTTCTTGGAAGTAGATGTACATCAGTGTCAGGTAAGACAGAGGTATCCTTTTCTTTTATTCTAGAAACAGTTTAAAGACCAGCTTTAAGATCATTCTTCATTTATATATAGTATATATTCCTTAGAAGACAGGAAAATGTTGTGACTTAAAACTGTCATTTTGGTTACATTAGTTAGGAAAGGTAGCACATTACTATTTCAAGTTTATATAAATGCTTCTTCGATGTAAAATACCTGTAATGGTAAACTAATAGGTTATTTTGCATTTGTATACTTTATAAGCTTTTCTTTTCTTTTAGTAATCTAGAATCATTCTTCTGTTTGTGAGATAATCGTTGAGTTTTAAAGTTGTGATAGGAAATTCTTGAGATGGTTTAATTTGAATTAATTAGTTTCTATTCTGTCAATGTAACATACTCAGCAGAAACTTTAAAATGTTGATTGAACCAGTGTTGTGGGTAAATTACCCTGGTGATATTTGTAAGTAAATCACCCTAGTGATTTAGTTGACTAGTCCTGTAACAGACTTTTTGTTTGTCTGTGTGCATGTGTATATATACTTGTGTATGTACACCAGTACTATGAAATCAGAGCCTCATGCTCTCCTTTGCCTTTTTCTCTTAAGGCTAGTGCTCTCACTTGAGCCATAACTCCAACATCTGGCTTTTTGCTGGTTAATTGGAGTCTATTATAATACTTCAGTTAATTCATTTATAACCACTTGGGTACCACCCAGTGTATTTACTTATAGATTTATTAGGTACATTCTATCTACCACAAATGAGGAAAATTAGGCAACCTTTGTTTCTCTGGGTCTGGCTTTACTTAATATAATTTTTTTTTTTTGGGGTCCGGTTGTGGGGCCTGAACTCTGGGCTGGGCTCTTCAGCTCAAGGCTAGCACTTTACCACTTGAGCCACAGCGCCACTTCCAGCTTTTTTCTTTTGGCTTATGTGGTGTTGAGAAATTGAACCCAGGGCCTCATGCATGCAAGGCAAGCACTTTACCACTGAGCAACCTTCCCAGCCCCACTTAATATAATTTTTAGATTTCAGCTTCTTGATTAGCTAGGATTGCAAGCATGAGTTTTGTTGTTGTCGTTGTTTTTTGTCAGTTGTGCATCTTTAACTCAAGGGACCTTGGCACTGTCTATGAGCTTTTTCACTCAAGGTTAGGGCTATACTACTTTGAGCTACAGTACCATTTCCGGTGTTCTAGTAGTTAATTGGAGATAAGAGTCTCGTGGACTTTCCTTCCCAGGCTGGCTTTGAACTGCTGTCCTCAGATCTCAAACTCCTGAATAGTATTACAAGCATGAGCCACCAGTGTCTGGCATGGGCTTTTGGCAACTGTTTAACATGTAGTTTTTGAGCACTTTATTTTTGGCCAATCCTGGGGCTTGAACTCAGGGCTTGGGCACTGTCCCTGAGCTTCTTTTGATCAAGGCTAGCACTCTTATCACTTGAACCATAGCACCACTTCTGCTTTTTCTGTTTATGTGTTATTAAGGAATTAAACTCGGCTTCATGCATGCTAGGCAAGCATCACTCTATCACTAAGCCACATTCCCAACCCTTGAGCACTTTAAATGTAGCAAATCCAGACTGATATGCTTAGAAAATGTGAATGTACTCTAGATATTTATACATTTATAAATAATATAAAATATGTTATCTCTGGTTATATTATAAATACTTTTACCAGGCTCACTATAATGTATATTAGTATTGATTTTTATTTACTTTTGCTTCTTTTTTATGGGCTCTAGAAAACTTCAGTTAATATTACATAATTCATACTTGTGTTTTGTGTTATCTTTTTTGGACAGCACTGTTTTAATCAGTTATTTATAAAGAGAAGGCATCTTTAGGTTATCTTTATGCATTTTTCTTCAATTCACATAGCAATGCTTTTTTCTTCAATTGACAGAATTCCTTTTCTGGTTCTTATTTTTTAAAATACTTGTCATGAAATGTTTGAACTATTTTACTCACTGTCTGTTGTAAGTTAAATTCCATTCAGTATAAAATCAGCATGCTAAGTCAGAATTTTTTTAAAAAATAGTTGTGCTTGATGGCCAGCCAGTCTTTTCTGTAAAAGTAGAAATTGGACTAGGGTTGCAGTGTTTAAATTATTGCCTCTTTTTCATGTGTAGGTTGACTTGTTTTTTGTATGTGTACTTTTTTCCTAGCATCAGTGATTTGTTTGGGGCAATACACTTTATATAATTTGAGAAAGCTGTCTTATATTAAGCATAATTTCTATATTGCGAGTTAATTTTCTGTTGGGTAAAGTATTAACAGTAAAACTGATTGGAAAAAAGCAAACAAGTAGAACTTGTTCTACATTGTGGGTCAAAGGGTAATGTAATTGTACCCCAATTGTCACTCTTAGGAATAGGTCTAGTTTGTCTTAAATACAATCAAAAGTACATTGTATAACATGTTTTTAGTTTATACTATGGTATATAATGTCCATAAAGGTGTAGAGTAAAAATTCAAAGTCTAAAATTTGTTTTAATTCTTAACACTAATTTTCAATTCTAGGGAACAGCTGCCACCAACAATATATCAGCAACACCTACATTTTTATTTTTTCGAAACAAAGTGAGAATTGATCAGTATCAAGGAGCAGATGCTGTGGGATTAGAAGAAAAAATCAAGCAGCACTTAGAAAATGACCCTGGGAGCAATGAGGATGCAGATATTCCAAAAGGCTATGTATGTACACAAAAGAGAAATCATAATATAGTCGTTCTTTGATTGGAATGAAATTATTGTTGTTTCTTTTACTAGTTGAGAATACTTTCAGGGAAGAACTTTCAAATTAAAGTTGACTGTTGAGGTTTGGCTGTGTGTTTACTATAATCTTAAGCTAACCATGTGATGAGCCATTTTCTTCCTAAATTTTTCTTGCTAAAATTTGTCATTTGTTTTAAAAATCTACTTTCTGAAGTATCAAATAGCCAAATTCTAATGCTGTGTTTTCCCAAAGAGTAGGAAATGTGCATTGCAAAATGTCCTACTTTTGGACATGTCCTATTTTTGGACAATTATGGCAAATAACTTAAGAGTCTTTTTTTTTTTTTTAAATGTACTTGAACTTAGTGCTTCATGCTAGTGGATAGGTGTTGTACTACTCAAGTCAAGCTGCCAAGCTGCTAACCCTTTTTGTTCTTTTTCAGATAGAGTCTCACATTTTTTTGCCCAGGGCCATCCCTTTGCCAAGATGTCTTCTTTGTATTACAGGCACAAATTATCCTGACCAAACTTGTTTGATGAGATGGCAGGGGTGGGGAGTGGAAAAATCTCACTTTTGCCCATGCTAGCTTGAATCTACTTCCTTCCTGGTCCCTGCTTCCTGAATTGCTGGGGTTATGGATGTGTCCAGCATGACCTGTGAATTTTAATATAACCACCTTATATTCTGTGCTTTCTTTGTTGTCACTTCCTATAGCTTTTTTAATTTTTTAAACATATTTCCCATTTTCTGGAACTTGATTATTTTGATATTAATAGAATATTAAAGTTTAAAACTGGTAATGTGATCCCAAGTATATTACTGTTCTGACAGCACAAATAGAAACATAATGGGGAATATAAGAGTAAGTGAATGAAAGCCTTTTTTTGGGTGCCAGTCCTGGGGCTTGTACTAGATGCTTGGACACTGTCCCTGAGCTCTTTTGCTGAAGGCGAGCATCTGCCACTTAAGCCACAGCTCCACTTTTGGCTTTGGTGGTTAATTGGAGGTAACAGATTTTCCTGGCTGAGCTGGCTTTGGACCACCATCCTCAGCCTTCTTAGTAGCAATTGCAGTTATAAGCTATTGGAGATGTAAATAAGTGTTGCAAAACTAAATTGAAGAATTTTTGTGAAATTGGAGATTTCTTGGAATAATTTCTATCATGATGTTTACACTCATTGATTAAGAAATCCTGTTGTTTTGAAGCCCTTTATATGATGAGTCTGAGTAAGAGGGTATGAAGAATTTTTCAAAGTTTATAGGAGTGAACAATTTTAATTCACTTTAATTTAAAAAAGAAATAGCTATGTCTCTTGGGAGTCATTGAGGTATCACAAAGTATCTGTGTACAATAGTCAGTGGTTAAGAATCTTAATAGATTATTAATCAGCTATAGGAAATTTTTTGAGTGAATGCAAGGAGTTTTAGGTTTTACAACATTTTTTAAGGGGTTTGTTTATAACCCCATGCACAGTCTTGTAATCTAAGATACATGGGAAGGAGTTCATGGTTCAAGGTCAGCCTGATCATAAGTTAGCTAGTTGGACACAATGATGTGTCCATAGCTGCTTGAGAATTAACTGGGACAAAAAGATGGAGATTCTATCTGAAAAACTAAAAGCAGAAGAACTGGACCTTAAGTTCAGTCACCAGTAATGAACCCCTCTCTCTCCCAAAGAAAGTTTTTAAAGCTTGGAAAAACTTAAAATGTGTATCTCTTCTATGTTTGCTAGAATAAGTCATGGGTAGTGTGGCCTCAGCTCCATTCATGCCTTCTCAACTAAGTTTTCCTTTCCAGAATTTGAATGCTATGCACTCTTGAATCAAACTTGCATTGGCTTGTGTTCTAACTCTTTAGGTGTATTGGTGTATTTTATTATTCTTGGACCTCTTAATCTATAGATTTGGACATATAAGTTTATTTCATTCCTCAGAATGAAGTTTTTTGGTTTTTGTTTTTTTCTCTGCCAGTCCTGGGGCTTGAACTCAGGCTCAGGGCCTGGACATTGTCCCTGAGCTTCATTTGCTCAAGACTAGACTCTTCCACCTGAGCCACAGCACCACTTCCAGCTTTTTCTGTTTATGTGCTACTGAGGAATTGAACCTAGGGCTTCATGCATGGTAGGCTAGGCAAGCACTCTACCACTAAGCCACATTCCCAGTCCTGAAGTCAAATTTTTATACAGCTCTAACTTAATTTATAAGTAGGCAATCAAAAATGTAGAAACATTTTTGTAACTTAGGTGTCTGTTGAATTTTTTTTCTCCTACAAAAAAGGGTTTAACTTACTTGTTGAAGTGTTTAGAATAGTATAACAGACCACGTTTGCCTTTCACCTCATTGTCATTTATGTATATTTTGCCATTTTTGCTTTACCTCACTATTCACTTTTATTTTTTGCAGCATAATTTACAAGTCAGTCATAGACAAATTAGTGGTTCCTCTCTAAGCATTTTAACATACAAATCCTAAGGATAGGAATATTCTACATAACAAGGATATTGTTATCACTCCTAAGACATTAATACTGATAAAGTATCTTTTTAACCTCTTATGTTCAAATATCCTAAAATGTCTTTTATAGTTGCTTTTATCCCAATCTAGTGTTAAAATTAAGGATTATGAATTGTACTTGTCAGATTTTTCTCATGTTTAGAATCTTAAAGTCTAAATTAGCATTAGTCTAATGATAATCACTAAACATATGTCTATTGAATAGTCACTGTGTGACTAGTACAACTGAGGAAACAATTTTTTTTGGCGGGGGGGGGGGGATTTGGTAATGAGGCCTGAACTCTGGGCCTGGGTACTGTCCCATTGCTCTTCAGCTCAAGGCTCTACCCCTTGAGCCACAATACCACTTCTGGCTTTTTCTGCTTATGTGGTGCTGAGGAATCGAACCCAGGGCCTCATGCAAGGCAAGCACTCTACCACTGAGCCACCTTCCCAGCCCCAAGAAACTTAATTTTTAATTTTATATAATTTTGTTAATTTAGTTTTAAATTGCCACATGTGACTGTCATATTGGGCAGCTCAAGAATAGACTAGTAGACTAAGTTGATTATACTGGTAATGGTACATTTCTTAGTGCATATTTCAAATATATAAATTTTCAGTTCTATCATATATACAGTGTAATGACAGTTTGTCCCAGTAAAGTATAACACAACACTTTAATGCAGCTGTTTAAATGTGGCTTTTTTTTTCTTTTTCTTTTTTTTTTATTTTTTTATTTTTTTGCCAGTCATGGGGCCTGAAATCTGGACCTGGGCACTGTCCCTCAGCTCTTCAACAATTGAACAGAAGAAAGAAATATATGCTGGGCTGGAAGGTGGCTCAGTGGTAGAGCGCATGCATGAGGCCCTGGGTTCGATTCCTCAGCACCACATAAGCAAAAAGCCGGAAGTGGTGCTGTGGCTCAAGTGTTAGAATACTAGCCTTGAGCTGAAGAGCTGAGGGACAGCGCCCAGACCCAGAGTTCAGGCCCCACGACCGGACCCCAAAAAAATAAAAAAAGAAACATATGCTGATTCAAATCTAAAGAAGCAACCATTGAAATCCAGAGTAGAGGTAATCTGTATGCTGAGAGACTGATCTAAAAAGGATTTAAGAGACATGGGAAGTAAATACTGGATATTAAGTACTTGCTTGTACCAGTGGCTCATCCTGTAATCTGAGGATACTGGTTTGAAACCAGCCCGGGCAGACAAATCTGTGAGACTCTTATTTCCAATTAAACAACAAAAAGCTGGAAGAGGCATATCTCAAGTGGTAGAGTACCTTTTGCTAAAATACCTAAGTGAATGTGAGGTCCCCAAGTACTGTTCCCTCCTCCCCCTGCCACACACACATAAGTCCTTATTCTTTATTTATTACTTTTTTTCTTTTGCAAGTCCTGAGGCTTGAACTCAGGGCCTGGGCACTGTCCCTGAGCTTCTTTTGCTCAAGGCCAGTACTCAACCACTTGAGCCACAGCACCACTTCAGGAATTTTCTGTTTATGTGGTACTGAGGCATTGAACCCAGTGCTTCATGCATTCTAGGCAAGCACTCTACCACTAAGCCACATTTCAGCCCTATTACTTATCTTAAATTTAACCTGTCTGCGTATATTTTTTAAAGTCCATGACCATAAAATAAGATAGGATTTCTTTGACTCTTACATTTTAATTTGCATTATTCCCATTCCCATTGTAAAGCAGTTACTAAAAGAAAGCATGCTGTGTACACGCATGCATGTGTGTGTACACATGTGCTGGTCCCAGGCTTGAACTCAGGGACTGGAGACTGTCCCTGAGCTTTTTGTGCTTAAGGCTAGTGCTCTACTGGAACCACAGCTCCACTTCCAGCTTTTTGTGGCTAATTGGAACTAAGAGTCTCACAGACTTTCCTAGCTGGGCCGGCTTTGAACCACCAGTGCCTGACTAAAAAAAATTTCAGTGTGTTGTGAGGGTGGGAGGGGTATTGGTACAAACACGTATACATGCACATGCCAGTACTAGAACCAGTAACTGAACTCTTAACTTACTCTGTGCCCTAAGCCTAGATTTGGCTTTATGAGTAAATCTCAGTGAGAAAGTCAAATGAAAAGATCATTATTAAGCTTTCAGTAACTATTTTTAAACATTTTCTGTAAATTGCTTAATCTAAAGAGTACCACAGATTTAAATCTTAAACAAATTTATACCACGCCCAACATGTTGTGTCTAAGGTCTTCACTTAATTTTTTTCAGATGGATTTAATGCCTTTTATCAACAAAGCTGGTTGTGAATGTCTTAATGAAAGTGATGAGCATGGATTTGACAACTGTTTACGAAAAGACATGACTTTCTTAGAATCTGACTGTGATGAACAGGTAATTGAATGATTAAGTTAAGGCTTTTATTTCTCTATCACATTCCCATCTCATGGTATGTCATCCTTTCCTAAATAACCACTTTTTTTTTTACTTCATTACACCATTCAGTGTCTTTCAAGCCTGTCCTTTGGCCATCCAGACTCACTTTAGTTCTGTTCTGACTGAGCTGCCTGGCACATAAAGGGAATTACAGAACTTTGTTTGAATTCCTTCCTGCTGAGTTGGATCATTACTAGTATTTGCTCCTTTGTTTTTATCCCTCACCTGTCTCCTGTACCTTTTTCTTCTTTTGATTAGTCCAAACACATTTATTTGCTAACCAAAGGAATGAGGCCAGTTAAACCACTTAGAGACTATTGAGACTTAAATCACTTTGAAACTGTTGCATGTAAAATGTTTGTGATGTGGATTATTGAACATAGTAGTGGGGAAAAAAAGTAGCCGTATGTAGATTTGCTTATTGAACTGAGCCTTTTCATTCTTGTAGCTAATTCCTCCAAAGTGATCATGGAATTTTATTTTACTTTGTCACAGATATGACTACAGGTGACATGGTTTATGACACACTCCACCACCAACTTCCCATCTTTCAGTTTTCTTGTTGGGCTTTCCTTCCCATCCCATGCCTGATGCTGAACCAATGAACCCTTGAAGTTTCAGACCTTCTGAGTTTTCCTGCCATCACCTTTAGTTTCTTCAGAAGGCTCTCAATTTTTATGCTAACCTTATTGCTGTTGCAAGTGATGATGCAGTCTTACTTGGCCATTACACCATTTTTCGCAGAGCAAATCCTACTCCTATTTCCTTCATGTAATCATCAAAACTTTGGCTGTCTACCATCCACTATCTTTCTATAATTGCTTAAACTTAGCCATGGTGGGTTGAGGAGGGGGGATGTGCATGGTACTTTTTCACACACAGATGAGTTTGTGTCTATAGAACTGAGACTAATTTTATAAGCATTCCCTTCTGTGACTAGCTCCTCACTCTACATATAATTCTGTACTACTTTTTCTATGCTTCTTTGACTGCCTTAATTTGCTGTCTGTTCTGTTTCTGCTTTGTTCCTATTCTAGTTAATCTTGTACATGATCACAAAAATTATTAGAAATATTAACTCATGTTTCTTTTATGGCAGTTAATTGATTCTTAACTGGTTTTAAGATGTTTTACTGAGTTGAACTGTTTTGGGCTTTCTGGTCTCATCTATTCTTTGCCTGTGATTTATTTGCTTAGATGTGGCATAGTTACTAACTTTCAACCCACTGTAACTGATCAATTATAAAAGGTAGTGCTAAGCCAGGTGCTGTGGCTCAAGCCTGAAATCCTAGCTACTCAGGAGGCCACATCTGAGGATCACAGTTCAAAGCCAGCCCAGGCAAGAACATCCGTGAGACTCTTATCTCCAATAAACCACTCCGAAAAACCAGAAGTGGCACTGTGGCTTAAGTGGTAGAACTCTAGCCTTGAACTGAAGAGCTGAGGGACAGCGCCCAGGCCCAGAGTTCAAGCCCCACAACCAACAACAACAACAAAAAAAATAGTGCTATAGTAAAAAAGAAAAAAATAGCCTAGTTATTTTCTTAGACCACAGTATGATTCTTTTTTTTTTTTTTAAACCAGTCCTGAAGCTTGAACTCAGAGCCTGGGAACTGTCCCTGAACTTCTTTTGCTCAAGGCGAACACTCTGCCACTTGAGCCACAGCACCACTTCTGGTTTTTTCTGTGTATGTGGTACTGAGGACTCAAACTTAGGGCTTCATGCATGCTAGGCACTCTGCCACTGAGCCACCCTCCCAACCCCATTCTAAAATTATGTATCTGTATACTATCTTTTTTCTTATCAGAGCTACTTATTAGATAATGAGTATCGTTTACATTGTGTTCTTTCTGAACAGTGTTGTTAAAGTAATGCCATGAGGGGTATCATCATCAGACCTGTTTATAGCCCCCTAAAAATCTTCTTGTTAGGAAAACTGTTTTAGCTTAGAAGCATAGCTGCTTTCAGTAGACAATTTTGGCTGGAAAGTTCTGAGAGCTAGCATCCATATTAATGTTTTGTATACAAGTTCCTGTATATGGCCCTAAGTTTAAAATGAAGATTGTTAATACCAAGGCTTGAACTCAGAGACTTGGTTAAACTCAGCTCTTGTTAAATTTTTGGTAAAGGCTGGAGCCTTACCTGAGGGGGATTGTGTGGAAGATGCTGGAAATCAAACCTGGAACCTCATGCACTCTACATTCTGGGCCTAAGAATCTTACTCTCTTGAGTTTGGGATCACAGTTCATGTGAAAGTTAGTCTCTTCATAACCAGTGCATTGCTACTTGACAAACATGGAAAAGCAGTATGCTAAAACTTGTTCTTTAAATTTTATATTAATTTGGGGATTTTGTTGTTGTTTTGAAAACAGGTTGCTTGCCAGTTTATAATTTATAAGGGCTTCGGCTCTTATACATTATTTTAGCTGATTTACTCCTAATTTTTTTGCCATTCTTTTACACAAATAATTGATGGTGGTATTTCTCAAATGTCAATCTAATCAGTTACCTTCAACTTACTGATTTTTCATATTACATTAGTTTTGTGTTAAATTAAGTAGGATTTTTTTCTGCATCTGTTATTTTAATTCTCCTTAGGTATCTTGTGTATTCAGGGTGCTCAAGAGCCCTTTTATAATAAAACTCTTTTCCCCACAGCTACTTATCACTGTGGCATTCAATCAACCTGTTAAGCTTTATTCCATGAAATTTCAAGGGCCAGATAATGGTAAGTAAAAGACAGCTTTTTATTTACCAACCTACTGGTTGGTTACTTGTGTTAGCATGCATTGGAAACTATTATATAGACTTGGATATTCTTTTTTTGAGAAAGAGTGAAATTGTGGCAAATTATAAATGAGTGGACAAATAAATATGAAATTATCAGGGACTGAAAGTAAGGAAGTAATATAATACTTAATTTTTTTATTGTGAAAATACAGAGGGGTTACAATTACATGGGCAAGATAATGAGTACATTTCTTATCAAGAATTGTAGCCTCCTCCTTTGTTCCCCTTCCCATCCCTTCCCATCCCCCTCCCCCCCACCAAAGTTGTAAAGTTCGTTTTCGACATAAGGACTTGTACATCTCATTGTTGCAATGGGTCCACCTGTATCCCTATTTAAATGATTTGTTTTTTCCCTTCCCCTCCACAAATTATACCGACATCAAATACAGTGAAAGCAGGGGTTATACTGTGGGGGAGGGACATACAAAGCAGCAAAGAAATAATCTTATAAATGTGTTAGAAACAATTGCATGAAAGAAAAACACATTTGAATACATATCTTAGGGTTCATTTCCCTAACATCAATTTATCTGACCTTTTAATTTTGGGAAGGTTTGTTTTTTTAACAAACTACTGAGTCATTTATTTCAGCTATCAATTCTTAGCAACCGTTTTTTAGAATTAACACTAGGAGAGATTGTTTTCAAATCCCTCCTATTGTAAATAATACAGCTGAGACTTCAGACTTTACTACAGGCATATCAAAGTGGTTGCATAGATTAGGGTTTGTCTTTTGTGAAGTCAAACATTACTTATCTACCTTCCCTTTGTTTCCATTACTGTTGAATTTTTTGAGGGGATTAAGGGAATGGAGATTTAAGGGTTTGGGGTTTATTTTTTGATTCTTTGATTGGACAGAATAGCTTATGTCCTGTTTACAGAGAGCATTTCCCTATCATTTATTATTCTGAATTTTTATATAATTTTTCATTAAAGTTGCAGTTTTACCTGGCAAGCATTCTTCCTTGCTTGAGGCATTTCCTCATTTCTTTTGCTAATAGTTTTCTTTTCAGGTAGAGATTTTTTTTTTGTCTGGGTTTGCCTCAATCTGTTATTCTCCTGTCTCTATCTCTTGATTGAGATTAGGGTTAACTAGGGTTATAGGCATGTGCTGCCATGCTTGGCTGGTTTTTGAGATAAGATCTTAGTAATTTGCCTAGTTGGCTTCAAATTCAGTACTGCCTCCCAAGTATCAAACCATAAACCACTATAACCAACTTTAAAAATGAATCTCAGTACTTAGCCTAAGAAGTAAGGAATAAGATATTTTGTATATGTATTCTTACTGTGGGCCTTATCTTATATTTGAGGTGAAATTGGCCATTTTTATGATTCTCTTTTGCCTAAATGTTTTCTTTTTTTTTTTTTTCCTTGTCCGGTCGTGGGGCCTGAACTCTGGGCCTGGGCGCTGTCCCTCAGCTCTTCAGCTCAAGGCTAGCGCTCTACCACTTGAGCCACAGCGCCTTCCGGCTTTTTTCTTTTTGCTTATGTGGTGCTGAGGAATCGAACCCAGGGCCTCAGGCATGCAAAGCAAGCGCTCTACCACTGAGCCACCTTCCTAGCCCCTGCCTAAATGTTTTCACTGATGATGTTTTTCTTCCAAATAATCAAATGAACTAGTTGTTGGCAACTACAAGTTCTAACTTAGTACTATTTCTTTTATGAAAATGTATTAATCTGCATATAATGTTAGAACCCATTGTCATCTTTATACTTCTTTGTCAAATTCATCATAGTATTTCTTTTGTAGTAGATGTAATGTGTGTGCACACATGCATGTGTATGTTTTTTAATATTTTATTTCTAATATTTTGTGTTAAGTCAAAAAAGTACTAGTAAATGAATCTTGGGAGGGCAATTGACTGTCAGTCACCAGTGTGAGTCTTAGTGGTAGAGGTCTATAAAGATTTATATATATAGGTATATACAAATATGTGCCACTTATATCTTTGTGTAAAGTATGACTAATAATAAATGTAAGGAAGTATAGTATGTTTGCAGTTTTTATCATTTCATTTTATTTTATAGGTCAGGGGCCTAAATATGTAAAAATTTTTATCAACTTACCACGATCTATGGATTTTGAAGAGGCAGAAAGAAGTGAACCAACTCAAGCTTTGGAACTGACAGAAGATGATATTAAAGAAGATGGCATTGTTCCACTCCGTTACGTTAAGTTTCAGAATGTTAACAGTGTAACTGTAAGTAGTATTTCACTAAGAAGAAATTTAACAAGTTTATGAATAACAATACTGCCTTAGTATTCTAGATGATTCTGAATAGTCTGTTAGTGTTTGTCCAACAATTTAAAATGAATAAAATTATCATGGGCTAAAAATTGTCTTTATAATTTAGCCATGCACCCTAGAGAAGAATGACAGGTTGATTTTAAACATTTGCAGGCTCTTTTAATTCTAGAATATTTATACTTAAACTGGAGTTATTTGTGCTGTATCTTTCATACCTGGTGATATATATCTCCAGTTTAAACTGACAAAACATATACATCAATCAATTTGTTTTCTAGAACATGCAATTTATTTACTTTTTTTTGGTGCCAGTCCTGGGCTTGAGCTAAGAGCCTGGGCATTGCCCCAGGGCTGCTTTTATTCTACCTCTTGAACCACAGCTCAAGTTCTGGCTTTTTGATGGTTAGTTGGAGTTAAGAGTTTTGCAGACTTAACTGCTTGGCCTGGCTTTGAACTGCAATACTTAAGATCTCAGCCTCCTGAGTAGCCAGGATTACAGGCATGAGCCAGCAGCACCCAGCAAAACTGATCTTTTAAAAATACGTTTACATTTTATAAAATTACTCAAGGTATATCTAAATACTAAATAGTATCTGATTTAAATGATACAAAAATTCCACCTATTAAAAAATTCCACCTATAGAAGTCAGCCACTTTTTAGCAGTTAGTAATTGTTCTTGAAAATTGTATAATCAAAACCCAGCATCCAGGGCTGGGAAGGTGGCTCAGTTGTAGAGCGCTTGCCTTGTATGCATGAGGCCCTGGGTTCAATTCCTCAGCACCACATAAGCAAAAAAGAAAAAAGCTGGAAGTGGTGCTGCAGCTAGCCTTGAGCTGAAGAACTGAGGGACAGGGCCCAGGCCCAGAGTTCAGGCCCCGTGACCAGACCCAAAAAAAAACCCCAAAAACAAAAACCCACCATCCTTCTCTTTACCTCTTCCTTCCTGTCCTTTCATGAGAGGATAGGACAGGTAGACAAGAATGGTGTTTATAGTATCTAGAGAAAGTAGAAATCAGCACAGAATTATTGAGACCAGGTTATACTAAACTAGTAAAATGTCTTTTGTGGGGGCTGGGAAGGTGGTTCAGTGGTCGAGCACTTGCCTTGCATGCCTGAGGCCCTGGGTTCGATTCCTCAGCACCACATAAGCAAAAAGAAAAAAAGCCGGAAGTGGCGCTGTGGCTCAAGTGGTAAAGTGCTAGCCTTGAGCTGAAGAGTTGAGGGACAGCACCCAGGCCCAGAGTTCAGGCCCCATGACCGGATCCCCCCCCCCAAAAAAAAGTCTTTTGTTTTAATGGAATAATTCTATTTTTGTAAATTAAAAAATGCTATTAGCATGTATCTTCAAGAAGTTTTACGTGGAGTTTTACAGTATACAATATATTAATTATGTCTTTTAGCTTGGTTCTGGTGGTCTATACCTATAATCCTAGCTACTTGGGAGGCCTTGAGAATGGAAGGATTATGATTTGATGGGCCAGCACAACCAAAAGTATTTGTCAGTCATGGGGCTTGAACTCTTAGCCCGGGCACTGTCCTTGAGCTCTTCAGCTCAAGGCTAGTATTCTGCCACTTGAGCCACAGTGCGGCTTTCCGTTTTCTGGAGATAAGAGTCTCATGGACTTTCTTGCCTGGGCTGGCTTTGAACTGTAATCATCAGATCTCAGCCTCCTGAGTAGCTAGGATTACAACTGTGAGCCACTGGCCTGGTAAACCGAAGGGTTTTTTTTCCTTTTTTTTTTTTTTTGTGCCACTTCTGGGTCTTGAACTCAGGGCCTGGGCACTGTCTCTGAGCTTCTTTTGCTCAAGGCTAGCACTCTACCCCTTGAGCCACAGGGCTACTATCGTTTTTTTTTTTTTTTTCCTGTATATGTGGTACTGAGGAATCGAACCCAGGGCTTCATGCATGCAAGACCAGCACTCTTACCAATAAGCCACATTCTCAGCCCCTAAACCAAAAAGTTTTTAAGATCTCCTTCTCAACCCATAGCTGAACCCAGTGGTATATGCCTATCCCAAGCTGTATAGGAGACCATCCTGGGTGGAAAAGACTTAGAGACTCCATCTCACTAAAGGGAATCTAGAAGCAGGCCCAACAAAGATCTGAAACCTAGAGTAGGTATCATAGCTAGCTCAGGTGCAACCCAGATGGAAAGTAAGTCCTTATTGTAAAATAACTGGCGAAAGGAACAGGGCTGGAGTGGGCTCAGCAATAGTGCTAGTGTAGAAAGTGCTAGGCTCTAACTACAAACCTTCAGTGTCACCCAATCAAAAATAGGCAAATTAACAAATGAGTAACACCTTTTGTTTTCCCTAGGGATAGGAGAAGGCTTATTAGAAGCATCCTTTAACTCAAGAGTTCCTGAATTAATTTCCATTTGTCCTTGAAAATCACCAAAGATAATTATCTTGTAGGAGGTTTGAGACTTTGTGTACCTATCTTACCAAATTTTAGTCAGTGATACAAATGAAGATACAGAAAGCACACCAATCATTTTTGTTGTTGTTATTGGTTGTGGGTCTTGAACTCAGGGCCTGGGCCCTGTTGCTAAGCATTTATACTGAAGGCTAGCACTCTACCACTTGGAGCTACAACACCACTTCCTGTTTTCTGGGGGCTAATTGTAGATAAGAATCTCATGGACTTTCCTGCCTGGGCTGGCTTCAAACCATGATCTTCAGATCTCAGCCTCCTGAGATTAGGATTACAGTCATGAGTCACTGATACCAATCACTTTTTGACATAAGGGAATCAAACTAAGTTTTGGTTAGTCTAATCGAAAAGTTAAAAAAAAAAAAGGTGTGTTTAGATTCAAAAGAGTTGGTTTAATAGTCTTATTTATTATAGACCTTAAATTGACCAACTTGAGTTTGAAATTAATCTATGGTTGCCTATGAGAACAATAAAAATTGACAAATAATATCTTAGAATAAAAAAAGCATGTCATCTAAGTAAGGAGATGCAATATTTTAAAGTAGACAGCATATAGAATGTTTTTTTAATTAAAAATGGATAAAATTTTAAAATCCAGTGTATTAGAAAAGGAACTATAGGTAAAGCTATCTCTTAACATGCTGATGGAAGTTTTTAAGTAGAAAGTCAAGCCTGCTATAAAAAATATGGAGTGCATAGTATAGTTTTAGGTGCTGATTTCCAATATTATTTTTTCTTCTACTATTCTAGGATATAGGATGGATATATGAATGTAGACAGAATGTAACTGCAGAGATTTTCCTCAGTGAAAAACTATGATTTTAATAAAATTATCAACAGCAGTTTGTCCCATTGTAACCATGAATCTCATACTCTTTCAACATTCTCTGTAAAGAAAGCTCTAATTCTGACTCCTCCATACTATCCCACTAAATTACCATGAATTTATGTCATGACATCTCTGGAGAAGGTGAGAATAGCAAGACAATGATGGGAGTTCAGTCTTCTAGGAGCAGTAGTCTAAATGCTATATAATTTAGATTAATCCTTACAAACAATGAAGGGCATTTTTAATAATAATCTGTGACTTGATTAAACATAAAACAGACTCATGAAAAAAGGGTCATAATAATAAACGCAATTTTTTTTGTAGATATTTGTTCAATCTAATCAAGGTGAAGAAGAAACAACAAGAATTTCGTATTTTACTTTTATTGGTACTCCAGTCCAAGCAACTAATATGAATGACTTCAAACGAGTAAGTTTGTTCAATGATAATAAGGGGAAATAAAAATACAGTGATAGAGGAAGAATTTCAGGTGTTTCAGTAGTAATACTGCTTTTAAATATGAAGAGATCTAAATCCTCTGGCTTAAAATTTTATAAGGTTAAAATACAACAGTAAGTTCTCTTAGTCACTTTTGAGAAATATGTCAAGCCTTAAATGATATATATTAGTGAGTTGTAAAAGTAAGTGTGGTTAGAGAAAGTAGGAATAATTGAAAAGTAGAAGTAAGTTATTATTTGAAAGCTATAGTGAAATTTTAAGTTCTTGCTAATACTAAGCTTTTGATTATCACATTTCTATTTCTAATAAGATTTAAAATTACTTGAGTAAATTTTATTATGAAAGGATAAACTAAGTTTTTTTTTTGTTTTTTAAAATTTAAACTAAGTTTTAATACACTGATATGCTGACTTTCCAAACTGGGTCCTGAAAGAGTACATGTTAGAAAATAAAGTTACATGCAACTTTTCTCAAAATTTTATGATTTTTTTCTTTTGTTTTCTTTCTTTTTTTTTTTTTGCCAGTCCTGCAGCTTGAACTCAAGCCTGCGCACTATCCCTGAGCTGCTTTTGCACAAGTCTCTTTACCATCTAAGCCACAGCGCCACTTACAGCTTTTTCTGTGTATATGGTACTAAGGAATCGAACCCAGGGCTTCATGCATGTTAGGCAAGCACTCTACCAAGCTACATTCCCAGCCCCTTTTATGAATTTCTGTGTATATTTTTTTAAAAGACACAGTCTTAAAGATTGCAAAAAATTCATTTAGGAATAAGGACCACCCTTTTATAGGTTTCTAGAACAACTAACTGATAGCTCTACAAACCCAGATCATAGAATGCCAGAGAGTTGTTTTTTTCTTTTTAACCAAACCCAGGTACTATATACAGCTTAACTGTGCCATTGCATAGGGGATGTACGTGTTTTCCTGTTTCTGATGGCTACATTTGATAGGCAACCTAGGGCCTGCAGAAAGAGATTCACAATAGACTTTGGGGGGGAATTATTTGAAGGGTTCCAAGAGTTCCAAGACCTCTCATTTTTTAGTGGTATCTGCAGATCTAATTTTAATTCAGTTATAGAAAAATTGCATAATGATGATGGCCTTACAAAATTGTATACTGTTTTTATAGGATCGAAAAACTTGACAATATATCATTTATCTTGTCATTTTTATACTATATTCTCCTGTGTCATGGTTTAATTAAGTTTTGGGAGTGGTAGGAATAATTGAGTACTGAAAATCTGTCATACTACATGATATATATATATATAAATGTATATATATATATACATACACACACATACAAAATGTCATGTCAGAAGAAGCACAGAAAAAAAAAGAAGCATAGATTAAATAGCTACATTTTTGTGATGTGAGATACGTTTTCCTGGGAAAATGCGTGAGCAACAAAGATGTTTTAGTCTTCCACTTTAGTGCTTTAAGATTTTAATTTAATGCCATTGGTCTTGGCTTTAAGTATACCTTGCATAATTTGTTATTAGCATAGTTCTTTGTCTAAGACCTGTTAATTTTATGTCTTACTATTTCAGTATTAGCTTTACCTTCCTATTTTTTACCTCATACTGTTTGAGTTCCAGTTTTTTCTACAAATAATTCTTACTCTGTCTTATCCATCTTCTTGCCAACCTGCCATTCAAGTAGTTTTTAAATTTGCATTAATAATTGTCTGTATTTGTCTCCACATTGTTTTTGGCAACTTCCTTCCAGTCTTACATTTTTCTCTTCTTTAATTGCAAAAACTTCCTTTTCAGGGTCTTGTTCTTGCCTGAAAGTATTTGTTTTTTCATTTGACTTTTTTCACGTTAAATTACTGTAGAGTAGCATTTTTCAAATTTTTAAATCTTAAGTACCTATTAAACTGTGAAATATGGTTGAAAAGTAGTTGTTAAAACTAGGAAATTAAAATTTTACAATAGTGAATATGATACATAGTCACAATAATATTTGTAATTAAAAATTCTTAAAAAGAACCAATACAAGAGCATTATTTTATGATTTTTATGAATTTCTTTGTTACCTAAATAGAGTAGACTTGTTCTCAGACCAACTCCTGCATTTGGCCTTTTATGATGATTTTTGTGCCATGTAGTCTCTATAAAACTCTATGGTACACTTGGAGAAGAATGAGTTGTAAAAGCAAAGAGCTATTTAGAATTATTCTAAAATGGGTTTGGTGTTACAGACTTCCTAAAATAGTATCAGGGACCCTAGTGGGACCAACCTTTGAACTGCTTTGAGAATAGTTTGAATCCTTTAATTTCCTTCCAGTCATTTATTGTCCTGAAAGACAAGCTTTAACTGTTCTTATATCATATGAGACATCAACTTAAATGTAGTGGAAAATTTTTATGAATTTAGTCCATTTGATTCTTGTATAGAATTTGCTTAATTAAGCTATTGCTTTTTGTTTAATACTTTTTGTCTGTAGTACCATGCTAGTACAGTGATGATCCCTGTTCACAGGGAGATATGTACGAACAGTAGGATAATGTACAAAATATGAAAGCTCCTAAAAATAAAAACGTGACAAAATATTCTCATGTTCATTGACATTCCTTTTTCCCAACAATGTCTGACGAGTGTAAGAAGCCTTTTTGGATGTCTTTGAACTAAGTTTTGAAAATAGAATTTGGATAAATGAAAAGATAAGTGATGGGTACACTGTTTTGAATGAGTAGATAGTTTTAGTTTTCGGAATGTTCCTGTCCTTCCCCTCTGTCACTAAGTAGTAATACTGATAAATCTTGGATGTAGATAGAAATCTTAGACCATTTTACTCTTTAAGGCTGTACTTTAGGATTTGATAGACTAGAATACAGCTTTATTTGTCAGTTTTTGGCTCTTAAAGGCATCACGCACAGATGATAACATACACTTCGGCTATTTGTTGTTGTAAATGTATTCTTTGTATTGCAGCATGAAAAGCTTACTGTCTTAATTGGAAGTAGATATTTTTGTTGCTAAAATAGCTTTTTATACAAACTGCTTATTTTAGTATTAAAATATAAGTACAAAAACTAGAAAATTTTAGGGGCTTCTGCTTGGTAGGGATTGAAGCGCATGTAAAAAGCAGATTTGTATCACTGTAATAAAAATAGACTTTTCTACACTGGCCATTCACCATATCAGCTAGTTTTGTAACATTTCTATCTGTTTATTTTTCAGCTTTTTTAATCCAACTCAAATGAACTAAACCCAGAAGATTTTTTTAAATGAAGTAATATAAAGATTGACTTTGTCTCACTCTACTCCCCTCCTTGCTTCTCTGCTCATCTAGCACCTGTCTGCTCTCACCCTTCCCATGTTCTCTCCAGTGCTGCTGCAAGATTTCTTCAGCTTCCAGCCTCTGGATCATCCTTGTTACCTAGATTTCCTCAACCATCTCTTCCTCCAGATTTCATCCTACTCATGATTCTCAGTTGGCCTTTTGTTTTGGGCTTGCAACTAGATGCTTTAATTTTATTACCTTACTGTGTTGCTCACCACACTTTTTGTTTGTTTCCCCCCCCCTGCTATTTCATATTCTTTTTTGTTTCACATTTTGAGTAGCAAGTGGTAATATTAAAATAAAACATTATCAATGCTTTGAAAATTAATTATTTGGATAATGTTTTAATTCATTCTAGAGTTTAGCTTACCATTTAGGAGCTAGAGAATCATTTTGTAACTTAAATATAAATTATTTTATACTAGTTAGTATTGGGTTATAATTGAGGGGGGGGGTATAGTTTTTCTTTTCTCATTGAAATGTTAGCCCAGTCTTTCTGTGAATTGTATCATCTGCTTTTACCTGCCTAACTGAGCTCAAGGCCAGTTGAAGTACTTATGGACTGAATGATCAGTGGACTCTTTACTGAAAAACTATTTTGACACCTAATTTTGATGTGCCTAGACTTGTTGTCTAAGTTGTAGTATACTTAAGACAAAAGAGCTTGATGTTTGGGCTAAGGATCTACATTGGAATGCTGAATTTCTTCTTTTTTACAGAGAATACATATTGGCAAGTTGAAAGTTATCACCCTGTGAAACAGTATGCAGATTTGTGTCTTCTGTATCACATCTGCTAAAATTTTAATTTTTAATATTAGTTTTTGTCCTAGCTTAATCTAATAGCTTGTGTTTTGTTTTTTCCAAGTAATTTAGTGATCAGTAATGCTTTCACTGTTTATCAACATAAATTCATTTGTGATACAAATAATACCACCTCCCTTTCATTTTAGCGCTTTTAAACATGATTTTCTTACTCTTGTCCACATTCACTTTTGTGACATTATCATCTTCCTTTTGAGCTTTTTTACCTGTTTCTTTTTTTGCAAAAAATAAAAAGTTTCATTGAAGAAATAAGAATGACTTTTCTTAGATGGGGGAGGGTGCTGTTAGCATTATATGATTGGGAATTCAGTGGCATTTTTAAATGTTTTTACAAATGACATTGAACTAGCTATTTTTCTTCATAGACCAGATACATACTCAGGGACCTTTAAGAGTTTTGTTTCTTCAAACAAAGCACAACCAATTTAAAATAATGAAACACATTTATAAGTACATGTAGCTATTTTTCAATACAAATATATATTCTTGCAGAATTTTGCAAGAGGGTTGCATTTCTTTAGGGGCATTTCTGCTTTGAGAATATACTAATGACCAAACTATATACTTAAGGTAAATTACTCTGTTAGAGTATAAAACTCTCCCTCAGATTTTTTTTCAAAGTGTTAATAGAAAATATGTTTTTATGCTGACATGTTTATAGCAAGCAGGATATATATATATATATATATATATAATATATATATATATATATACTCTCAATAGTGAATTTTTGACACAAGGTGTATTCTTTACTTTTTTATAGTGCATTTGTAGAAGCCAGGGTTTTAAAAACCTCAGAAATTTTTGTCATTTTTAATCTGCTTGTATTGCATGTCTACATATTAAAGGAAAAGTCTAGAAACTTGTCATTTTGTGCCTGAAGACATGAGTGTAGCATACTCGTAATTCTAGATTATTTTGTGATTGACATTTAATTCCTGATTGCCTAAAAATAGTAAACTAAGAATGTTTTACTCATATAGCATCATCTTTTTTATTAATGTCTCTAAACTGTCAAACTTGTTTGGAAAAATACATTACTTTTTCTTAAAACAGGGTGGGAAACCAAAAGTAGCATGCATGTGTTTTATTTTTAATTCCTGTGGCTAGGGTGGCACATTTGCTCCCACAATAAGAGGACATTGCATGCTTTAAAAGATCAGGGATTAAAAGTTAAGACCATTATGAAGGATAACATGATTTCCACATTAGTATTTTTGAAAAACTAAAGCAATAAATTGTACATAAAACTTTTTTATTTTTGTTTTTCCAGGTAGTTGGCAAAAAAGGGGAAAGCCACTAAGGTACAAAAGACACTGGAAGATCTGTTGCAGTCAAGATTTGCAGCTCCTGGATAATTGCTTGATTCTCTCCAGAAATTGTCAATGTTTCGTTCATTGCCATTACCAATAAATCATTGCTTTTGTTCAGATGCTATCACTAGTGTTTCTATTGTAATCTTGATACATGCAGTTGTAAATAAAAGTCACTACTTTTGCCAAGCTAAAATCTTGTCATTCCACATAAGTATTTTCAGTTGCATTTATTTGAGTATTTTCCAGCTTATTTTAGAGGAGACTTAAATGTTTGGTAACATTGTTTGAAAGCTAGTTTCTCTCTTAGAGGAACAAAACTGTTGTACTGAATTAAGGAGTACATTTGTATACACACATACATATACATACAGAGTGAGTGATTTTGGTAAATGCACTTAAGAATAACTAACCATGCTCAAGTAAGTACTGAATTTTTATTTTAAAAAATTGGTTATCTTGGTGATATAGAAATTACTCAAATTATAAACTGCCAGAAACAAAACTCTCAGAGTTTACTACTCTTACCTAAAACTGTTAGGTTAATGGGATTGCAAATTCTCATGCCAAGATTTTAATCCTGTTTAAACTACTTTGAGTCAGTCATTTTCTTTACTAATTGAGAACTATTGGCTAAACATCTGTATATTATTTTAGTCTTAAAGCTGTAATTTAGTAGGTGTTGGCAAGTTTAATTTTTAAATTTGAGTGTTTGTTAAATTCAGTATTTTAAGAGAATTATGACTTGGTTAATACATTTAAGAGCATTCTTGTCTAGAAATATGGTAAATACCATTTGCCCTTTGGAGACCAATGTATTTATATGTGAATTATGCAGAAATTATGTGGAAGTTTTACTGTTTAAGTAGTCACTTTCCCAAACCCAAGTGTCATTAGGTAATGTTTAGTTCATTTGTATGTGAACACAGTAACTTGTCTTGGTGATGTCTATATTGTATGTATTTCACAACTTTGTTGCCTTGGGTCAAGTTGGTGACAGAGGGCAAAAAAATAAAAGTTTATAATACTCCTAATATAGACCATGTCAGATTAATTATGCCTGAAATTAAGGATAAGATTAGATTAATATCAAGGGTTTTAGTTAATACTTTTGTACACTTAACCTTTTGGGGTAATTGTTACAAAGTGCCTCATCTTAGATACTGATGAACTCTGCCTATTTATATCTTGACAATTAAAAAACCCAGTAAAAGTGATCTTTGTAAAGGACTGAGCATTAGATTTATATTGTTTGTGTGACTTTCCTATAACTTAGTTGATTGTAAGACATTCCATAATTACTCAAATTGTAAATGAAAACATGTTTATAGGTAACAATAACTTCACTTACGGGAAGTTTTACTGTTACAAATAAAACATGGGTATTTAAGCTTATTTAAAATACCAAGCAGAAATGACATTTTTCCTAAATTACTATTTGTAAACACTGAAGAGTATTTAAAAAAATTAAAAGGCAACCTAAGTTATTTTAACAAGAGCCACTCAGTAGTACTTTCTAGAAAACTCATTAAATTTTATCTTGTTAGCAAAATGAGAATCCTGTTTGCATGTTTTTGTTAATTTTACATCAGGATGCTGTCCAGTGAGACCCAGCAGCGAAACGGAAGTATTGTAGTACAAAGTATCTGCTAAAGGTTGAGGAATAACACAGGCGCACTCACTCCCGTGTCCCTACGGCTCTTTGTCATCAAGTCCCCAATTTCCCCTATCTCAGTACTTAGCCACTTAGCATTCTGTTCAGCATTGATGTGTGAGTTTAAACCTGTCTTTTCTTGATTCAATGAGGATATATACATCATGTTTTGCAGTTTATAGGTATGCTCCTAATGTGTATTTCAGCATTTCATTCTTTGCTTCACTTAACACTATATTTGAGGGGGTGGGGAGACAAAAAATCCAAAATGGAGTTATGTGCAGGTGGCTCAAGACTAATCTGAGCTAGTCAGAAGTCTGAGATTAGAGGATTGAGTTTTGAAGCCAGCCCAGGCTGAAAAGCCTGGAAGACTCCCATCTCCCATTAACTAGCAAAGTGCCAGACTGGAGGTGTGGCTCGTGATAAAGCATGATAGCAGTGAACAAGCAGAGGCCCTCAATTCAAATCCTAAGCAGTTTAGATCTTTCCATGTTCCCTTTTAGTGTCACACAGATTCCTTATTAACCTCTCCTATCCTCTCTACTCCCCTTTATGCCTACTCTTTTCTCCCCTTTCCTCTCTACTCTCCTCATTGTGGAGCTAGGGCTGATCCCAGGATCTCACCGGTGCTAGGCAGATACTCTACCACTTGAGCCACACTCAGATCTCTTGATTTTCAGTTATTTTTTCAGTCCCTAGGCTGTCCTGGAACCACAATCCTACCACATAGCGGATCCTACAGGCATTTCCCAACATGCCCAGTTTGTTGAGAAGGGTTCTCACTAACTGTTCAAGCAGACTTCAAACCATGATCCTCCTGATGCACACCTTCCAAGACACAGTTAAGCTTAAAATCTTTAACACTATAGTAAACATTTATAAAGAACTGGAGGTAAGTAACTTACTTATGTCTTCTCCCTTGTAAAAGTAAATAAAATTGCTGATGGCTCACACCTATATTCCTAAACGAAGACTATAGCTTGAGGTTAAAGCCAGCCCAAGTAAATCTGAGATCCTTACATACAATTAACCAGCGAAAACCTGGATGTGGAGCTGTGGCTCAGGTGGTAGAGCACCAGCCTTGAGTGCAAAAAAAAAAACATGAGACCTTGAACTCAAGGCCTCAGAACCACTGTGTGCATGTGCTTACCACCCCCCACCCCAAAATAGGGGCTTACCAATGTTGCTTCTATTGATACGATGCATAGAGCAGGTTAGTAGATTAGATTAATTTTTGTTCTTTTTATTCCTAGGTAGTTTGTAAAGAAAAATAGAGTCCGTTCAACCAACCACTAGAAAAACCTTTAGCTTTTATACCTCATTGGGTCTCATGTATTTTTAATGTTTGTTTATTGTAAAAATAGTGTACAGAGGGGTTACAGTTACATGAGTAAGGTAGTGAGTACATTTCATGTATTTAAAAATTGAAAGATGCCAGGCATCTATGGCTCAATAAGTTACTTACGAGGCCGAGATGTGAGGGTCAAGATTTGAAGCCAGCTTAGGCAGACAAATCTGTGAGCCTGTTACTTCCAATGGAGGCATGTGTCAAATGGGGTATTCTACGTCTGAGCAAGAAAGCTGGCAAGAGCTTGAGGCCCTGAGTTCAAGCCCCTGAAACACCAAAGTTTTTTACATATAAATAATATATGCTTTAATTTTTTACATATGCTTTATTATACACACACTATGGCATCTAGTAGGCAATCAAACTTATTACCCAGGTATGCCCATATTGCATAAGAAAGTATTGATATCATTTAAAACTCGCTTTAAAATTAAAATTGGTTTGTCTTCAGACCATAATATATGCCTAGCACCAAAGGTACAAATGGACAGAGTTAATTTTAGTAAGCTAAGGTCATGTTTAAGCCTACAGCCTGTGTGAAATTATTAATTGAAGAATGTTTTACTAAACTAACTATAAAATGAGAATTAAATTTAGATGCACTATTAAAATTGTATAAAGTTCAGATAATATTAAAGTCAAGATATGTAACCTTCAAACTGTTATGTTTCTCCTGCTTTGGTTAAGCTTTTCTCTGGGAAGAAGTTCATTTACTATCGAGTTAATACTGAGAAGCTGAACAGGCCAAACTTAGAGTGAAAATGTAATTTGTTGGTTTGTACTTGGACATACTTACTCACTGTGCTACTTAGGAATAAGATCTTTGAGGTTTTATCTCTGCTCCTTCACTTGTCACTTTGAGCAAATAACCTTTGGAGTTTTCTCTTGTGTAAAAATAGGAACATCTGTCTAGCTCTTAGGCTTGTAATGAAGATTAAATGCACCTTACGTTGCTGTATCTGGACCAAGGAGAAGTATTTATCTTTCTTCTATATTCTGCTTTCATCTCACCATCACTGCATTTCAGGGCATCATTTCTTGCTCAGCAGAAGACAGTAGCCTCTAATTGCCTTCCTCCACCCTCTGATCTGGCCTCTGCAATGTTTCTTCTACATGGTTTCTTCTGACAACCTCCAAAAGGAGAGATAACCAGAAACTGTTTCTTCACCAGTCTCTCCCTGCTGTCATGGCTTCTCCAGTCTGCATTGTAGCACTAGCAGTTACTAGCAGTGTATCCTGATATGTCTTCCTCTGAGTTAATTTGTCCATCTGACACATTCTTATTTATCTGCAATTTTCCAGTCCAAGCAAAATTGATACAATCAAACAATTATCTATTCCTCTTTTTCTGGTGTAAACCCTGTATTCATCCCAACCTGATATCTATTCGGTTACTTGTGGTTACTTTTGTCTAATTAGCCCTACTAGGTTATAGGCACTAAATCAATAATTTTGTCCCTAGTACATACTAAACCAGTTTCTTGGGTGTCTTATTAAACACAATGTTGAACAAATAATCGGATTCCATGAACAAAAGGATTAGCTTGGGATTTGCAGTGTAACAAGGTAAGGAACTCTGAAGACAGTATGTTGAAAATGAACTGTAAACTTGGCTGGCGGTGGGGGGGGGCGGCGGGGGGCGGCAGTTGGGAGGGAAGGTAAGTGGGAGAAAAATGAGGAAGGAGGGAACAAGTTCAATAAGAAATGCACTATATTATATATGTAACTGTAGCCCCTCTGTACACACACTGAAAATAAATTTTTAAAAAGAGAAAGAAAATTTAGCAAAATAAAGAAACAACTCAGTACATGGTGGCTGCATAGATGTATTTCTTTTGGAAATGAAGGAGGGATGAAGCTGAACAAGTGAGTAGCAGTAAGTAGAATAAAGGGCTCTTCTTGCCAAGTGAAGGAGATCAAACTTCATCCTTCACTCACCAAAGGAGAATATGAGGCAGTAGGCAAAGGAGAACATGGTGGTTCACAAGTGTTTCCTTCTTATGTATAGATGGAAAAATGTGTGTCTGGGGAAGCCACAAGTTCAGAAGGAAGATGAGCATGGTTCTGTATATACTGTCTTGAACAGTGTACTTGAGATACAGTTGTAGCATGTGAGAGGCACATAGGCACGAAGGAGCGTATAGAGTTTAGGACTAGAAGTAATGAATTAAGAATTATTTAAGCTGGGCA